AATTGAAATGTTCTGCGGTATTCAGGTTTCCTGACCGTTCCTCTCTCGCCACAATACACCTGTCAAAAATCAACCAACATGCAGTGCTCGCCGCAATGAGAGGGAAGTACAATTTATCAGGTATTGACACGATTGCAAACACAAGGCTGTCATCTCTCTGGTGCCTTTTGTTGAGTGTTCAACTGCAAAATGGTGTTTCGATCAGTGAGTGGTATTTTGACTGATTCGTACCACAAACAATGGAATGTGAATGGACCAAGCGTATTCTATCGTGGCGCTGTCTCTCATCTGTTGATACCGATGCTGTTCCTGTATGGCTGATAAATGCTTTTCCGTTATTCATTCTAATAGACATTGCAAATCATTCATTAATGCTGCTGCGAGGTGCATAGCTACCGGGTGGCGAGAATCTTACGCATTCTTAAGATACAGAGTAGCATCTCAGTGTTAATTTGAACAGTTGTATGGTTTAAACGCTATTTCTCTTCTCAAATCTTCTATGATCCGGTCGAACTGCAGAACTGTCCATCAGCCCTTCCTGGTCTACCTGTACATCAGCAGAATGTCCGTTAATATGCGGCACAATTGCTGTGTACACAAATAGTAGATCAAAAACGGACGAACTATTTCCAAAATTCGTTCTCATACGCTATCAAAAACCGTCTCTTTGTTTCTAAACCACGATGACCTCACTTTTTTGGTCTATACAGTGCAAGAAACTTCTAGCGCCCTTCAGAACAGCGCCGGATAACGCGCCAAAACCTGTACATGAAGACGGATCGGTGAATCACTGAATGGCATTATGGGCCAGACGTGTGACTAAATGCAATCCGTGATTTGTTAATTTTAGCTTCGAAATTAGTGATTTTGGAGTATATAGATCCGTTAAATATGTGAATACTCAAAATTCAGCAATTTTGGCTGTTCCTTGCCATATTACCGACCGTATGTTTATTCTATCCGTGCTTATCTGCTGTTCATACCTAATGACCAACATCTATTCCATAACTTTCGCTCCACAGATCAACTTCTCACATTATATTTGCTTCGATATATGCTTGGGCGGTCTATCATCCAAATTTGAATGTTTGCTATATAAAAAATATTCGGGCCAAGCCCCTAAAACATGCCAGAGCTTGAAACGATTCTACAGTCCGCCCATGTGAACAACGATGATAAGGAGAGTGCAATATATGAGATGGCACGGATTATCATGAATGAACGGGTCTACGAGAAATTGGCCGAGCTATGTCAGTCTTTGAGGAAGTTGTGGCCCAACCTTACAGGTGCACGCGCATCAAAAATAATGAAAAAAATCGTTGGCTTCATTCCGCCGCAGGACTTCAACATTGCTCTTCATTTCGAGGAGAAAATGATCGATTGGTGCCAGAAAGAGGAGTTGAAATACCTAAAACTGTTTTTTCAGACGAAGCGTGTCGGGATGCTCTACGAGATCAGAGAATATGAGAAGTGCCTGGAGAATATAAGTGAACTGGCCACTGAATTGAAAAAGATGAACGATAAGGCTAATCTCATAACACTGTACATTTATGAGAGTAAAACATACTATGAGATGCAAAACATGCCACGGGCCAAGGCCTCGCTGACATCAGCACGCGCTCTGGCGGTCACCACGTTTTCGCCATCCTACATCCAGGCACAGATTGAGCTGCTCGCGGGAATGTACCTTTGCGAGGACAGGCAGTACACATCGGCATTTTCGAATTTCATGGAGGCCCTGGATGGGTTTAATCAGTCTAAGTGTTACTCAGAAGCGTGTCTGACAGTGCGGTATCTTGTGCTCTCGAAGATCATTGCCAACAGATGGAATGAAATCGGTTCGCTGCTGAAAAACAAGGGTGTACAGAGTTATCTCGGCGACGACATCATTAAAATACTTGTGAGGCTCGGTGAGTCGTGCAAAAAGAGAAATCTTTCCGGATATGACAAAATCATAAGAGAAAACTACGAAACCATAAAAGACAATTTTATTCTTTCGCACCTGGCGTATCTAAACGATCTCCTGCTCGACTCCAATATTCTAAAGCTAATCGAGCCGTACCTGAATGTAAGCATCAGCTATTTGGCCGAGGAGCTGAACTTTCCCGTGAGTGCCATCGAGGCGAAGCTCAGGAAATTGATCTTAGACGGCAGGATTAACGGGATATTGGATTACTACACAGGTACTCTCGTTATGTATGAGAAGGGGGAAGACAGCATGATTGAAAAGAACTATTTTGAGATGGTGAAAGCAATTTTACTGTCCGTTGATTCCAATAATAAATAAACATGCAGCTCGTGTACTTTGTTTTTTATCGCATGTAGCGGCGAAATAAGACATCCTCCACCGCTGCCTGCATGCCACTTTTTTACTCAACAACACCGCTCGAGTTAATGGCATCAGCATCACATTTTCCTTCTCATGTGATACAAGAGGGTGCAATGCTAAAACTAGCCGCTCGAGCCGTTGACTGTGAACTAAAGCTAGCTATCAGGCACGTTGAAGGTTGATGCGCCCCCATCTCGATTTAAAGAAAGCAGTGCGGTGGCAACAAAACCTTTGCAAATATAAGGCCCGGTAATCCGAAACTTGGTACGTTGATTGTTGTTGTAGTTATTTAGAGCGAATTGGATGTAAAATACAAACATGACAGCGCATAGTGTGAGAAGCGTGTTCAACGAATTTAATTTATTGAAAACCTTCAATTAGTCATACGAGAAGTAAAAAGCACGACGGCTTTTTGAAATCCAAGGATGATTCGCCTAGTAATAAATTTTCTGTTTTTGGACCGTTGGACTGATTGCACTCTATGTTCGTTAAAGTACGTGTTATTTGCTTGTACTTCCGTTAGTGTTGAGCCATGCAACCAAAGTACTAATTAAATTTGACTAAAGCAAATTACCTAGTGCACGACCTGGACATTTTCCTCTGAAACTTTAATTTGATAAATGAAACAGCTCCATTTGTCATACAAAGTGTTCGTTTGGCACAACAACAAACCCGAAACGATATATTCTACTAAGAACGTTTTAATACCTTTATATTCTAGAAACACAGGGGGCATAGTCCGTAATCTATTCAGGACCACTCATACACACCATAAAAATACGTTTGGACACATTTTTATGCTGTGTATAGCACCAAAGCCAAAAATACAAATATTTTACAAAAACACTGGAAATAAAAGCTGTGCTATGTCTACGAAGATGCTATATTTTTATTTATGTGGTTTGGAAAGCGGTCCCATGTTGTCATGTACGACTTCGCGGTTGTATTTTTTGCCACATATTTCAATCGCTAGCCGATTCTCCACAATAAAATCTTTGTTTTCGAAGTAGGATCTGATAATTTCGACCAGTTCATGGTAACTGCAATCAGATTTGATAGAGTTGGCCCGGCAATGTGTAAATGATACCATGTTCCCACGATTAAGCAGCTCTGATACCAGCTTAACCATCGGAATGCACTCCTTTTTGAGCAGAGAACATACAGTTGGTATATGATAGAAGCCGAAACAATCATTTTCTTGTTCTATGAGTCGTAGAATTTCGGTAATTCGTTTGCTCTCTGTTCTATTATTCAGCTTATCCAAAAATTCAGGATTTTTCAGCTTGCCTTTCCACAAAGGACCACACAACAACAATTTTCCGTGGCAGATCGGACAAAGCAGGGAAATTTCAGTGCTTTTTGTTCCATACTCGATCATATATCCACATCCGCAGACAAAGTAGTGCGCACACTCGCTGAGGGAAGCCTTGACTGCGGATGTTCTTCTCTCAACCCTCACGAAAAGCCGCACATAAAAATCCACCGACAACGATAACAAGGGCACTATTCCGCAGTCATATAGTGCAGCAACACGCGCCGCTGTTGACAAGGCGGCCCTTAGTGCCATTTCACCGTAGTATGGAACTTTCCTGATCAAAACATCGTACTTCCTCGCACATTTACTTCTGTTTGTGCACAATACGGCCGTGTCTGTTGCTGTCAAGCACACCAAGCCGTTGCCTTTGATTGATTTAAACACAAATGGCAAATTCTTAGTGAAGTGTCCGAACGGATCAACATCTATAACGTGAAAAAATAAATTGTTATTGGCCATAATAGCATTGCAATCGCTATTCAACAAAAGAACTCGGTTTAAATCCCCCCTTTTGGCACAGCTACTGCCATATTGACGCTCACCTGTGGATTCTTCTAGTTTTTCTATGAGGCATCTGTTCCGGTGATCGTTTACTGCGTTAAATTCTATCTCGTTGATTCTCAAATTGTCTTTTATTGTGTCAACGGCGTCGCGATCAATATCGTTCATAAAGATTGTACATTTTGGCGTAATCTCCTTTGCATATCTTATGCCACGGAGACCTGTAGCTGACATGCATTCAAAAATGCACAGATTGCTTTCCTTGAATTTCGAGAGCTCAAGAAATGCATTGATTGCCATAACAGAAATATCCCTGTTTATCTCCTGTGCAGGGTTGTAAAACGCCTTATCAGTCTTCTTGATCACCGAAGAATTCTCTTTGATGAAATTCTCATCCATAATAGGGCTAGCCAAAAAGTTTCCTTTTCGCTCATGCCCAATACAACACGTAGGTGTTTTAAGATCTGCTCAATTGCCATTTCTCAACCAGAACACACGAACAAAATCTTCTGACGCATTGTGTGCCCATTATAGCCTTGGATTCACAGAGAGAGCGTATTTTTTTGGCTAAGAGAAATTTTGCACGAAAAATGTGTTTTCAAGCAATGTAATATGTAACACAGCTGTGTTAGATAGAACAAAACATGTGAAAACAAATGATACAAAATTTACTTAGCACTTCATTTACATTTCCTACATGGTATCATGGCACAGAAAAATTTATTCAGTGTGAGATGCATCAGTGATATTGCAGAAGTACTTTGCACGTGCATAACACCAGTTTATTCATACGGCGCATCAAATGCTGTTTTTCTACAACAGAATCGTTCAAACTAGATAGCAAATTGCACCAATACCCAATTCACAAAATATTGAACAGAAATAAATTATACGGTAGCACGTATAACAACATACATAGCATACCCACAGGGATAATTGGACACGTAAAATACTCTTTTGAAAAGGAATGTAAAAAATACTGCTGATGTGCGAGGAAATAAACATGCTTTTGGTAAAAAACACTTTTTATTTTTCTACAGCCTGTTTGCAGTCGATCCTAAGCAAAGTCGTATGCTTCTGTTCTTCAGGCCCTCGTTTTTTATCGTTACTTTATAAACATCATCCTCACCGATCAGAATCCCAAACCCGCTGATCATGGACTTATAATTCTTTGAACTGACCATTTTTATCAGATCCTCGTCGTATTCCAGATCCCAGAATATGATATTGCCCATGCCAACCGCTATTTTTGGTTCTATGCTCTTATTTGTACCTAGAGATGTTACAATGTCCATCATAAACTCGTTCTGTCCCTTCTCCACCTTTTTCTTCATCTGTGCAATCGTCAAGTAGAACTTTCTATGCTTAGCTGTCTTGGGCCTAATATGTATTTTTACTTCGCCTATTCTACTTATTGTGATAACAAGCCGATTCTTTCTTGTTGTTATTATCTTCAGGTTGCTGAACAGTACCTCCTTGTCTATTTTTATGGTTATGTAGAAATCATCGGCAATCTCGCTGTACATCTCGAACATGATGCTACCCGTGTCACACCGGAACTTGTATTCGATGCTTTTGTCGTATGCGAAATTCAGCAAAAGTGGTTTAAAATCAGGTCGGTAAAACTTGGCCTTTATCATAACGGGCGAGATAAAGAACCGGCGCAGGTATGTCTCGAGAAACTGGCTGAAACTCACTTCGAGCTGGCTTTCTCCATTTAGCTGTTTGACCGTGTAAAAGCAGATTAAGTCTTTGCTGTATGTTTCGGCGTCAATAATTCGTGAGTCATCGCAGAAACTCAAGATCTTTACCATTTCATCGGGCTTGTCACGCGATTTCACGAAATACAACGATGTGTTTTCGCTTATCTGTTGTACATCCATGATTTTAACCACCATTCCCATTAACCGGAATCTGATGACGGGATCATCAAGAATATCTCTAAGATTCTTGGAAGAAATGTCGAAACTGACGACTTTTGTTACCAGGCCCTCCTTCTGCTCAATCATTCTCTTAAATTTGCGTATATCGTTCCGTGTGTCGCGACTTTCCATCTCTGTCACTTTTATGTCAGGTTCTTCCCCATCTACTTTTCTGTTCAGGATACATTCTCTTATCTTGTGTCCCTTCTTGAAACTGAAGAGGAACACCGGGTTGATCAGGTAGTAAAATATTTGTAATTTAGCGCCTTCCATTCGGATCAGAAAGAATTCTGGTTCGTGGGTTGAGTTTCGCTGAAACAGAATTACGTTGTTTCTTATAATCCTGACGTAGTCAAAAACATTCTTTTTGAAGTATAGCCTCACCAAACTTATCCTTTCGTTAAATTTTCGGCTCACCTTAAGGTACAAAAAATCGTGCATGATATACTTGAATATACTTAAATTGTAGAAATACGATAGAATATTTAGATATGGACTCTCCATATCCGTAATCAGTCTCATTTCGTCCACGATCTTCTGCGATCCCCTTGAGATATTATCAATTTCGCCAATATTAATGATCTGTTTTGCCACATTGCGGGTAAACACAGTTTCATTTACCACAGAACCAAATCCATTTCTGGGATCCTTCTCCTCAATATTTGGTAGACCGTGCGTTTTTTCATCTGTAAATTCCTTCACTGGCTTATAATCTGACTTTTTTGGCTTCTCTAAGGTACCGTCGTGACGAGATACTGGAAAATCATCGGTCGTATGCTTTCCTGAAATTTTCTCTTGCACATTATTCTGGTCAGTTTCGTGTTCATTTTTCGGATGTTTTTCGGCGGAGTCGTTTCTAAAGTCAATCTCCAGGAGATTAATGCGATCACTTTCCCCATTAATATAAGCATTGCTACGCCGTACCGTGACAGTGTCATTCTTTCTGGTGATCTTATAGTTCATTGATACGTATAGAAAGAGCCTGTTTGCAAGATTTCTGCTCCACTCCTCGTATCTCAGCTCATCAAATTCGTTTATCTTGTGGTCCACATACTTTAGGTTTGAGGAGACCATTGGAATCAACAGTGAATGAAAATTCGGAAAGACCATCTGTCTACATAGCGAATGATACAACATTCGCCTGACAAACAGACTAAACACACGGTTTAAATACTGTTTCATACTATTAGCATGCCCAACGAATGCGTCAATACGTATATCGAAGTGAGGATTCTCTAGAAAAGATAGTTCCCATTTGTTTTTCTGATTGTTGGCCGGCATTCTTACCAGTGCCTTACCGCCAAAATTCCCGAGCGAGCACAGAGTCTCCAATTTGTAATCACCAAGAAAAAAAATTTTGATGTGAAATGTTGAATACTGCTGATATTTTAGATCAACGAGGAGAAACACCTGATTGAAGTTGAAGTCAGAATCGCTGAATATCGTTTTAGAAGTGGGCTGTTTGTGCACGCCTGCACACGTCGATCTGTTGGCAGAACAGTTTCGTAATGGGGAAAATTGATCCCCATTATTGCCAAAAAACGGTCTTCTACAAACATTCATGCCATCATCTTCATCATCAATCTTATGATACCCGCTTTCACATGTGCCGATTTGTTCCGTATTAGCAGTTTTACCCGTGTATCTGCGTTTCTCAGCGCAGTCGAAGAATTCATCATTAACATTCAGCTCGCAACTCAGCATATCTTCCTTCTGTTCTGTCGCACTTTTTTCCATCTTTGTGCTACAATCATTCATGATATCGTTGTACTGTGATGGCGTCAGTACAGTCACACTCTCTATTATAGGTGCTTCGACCGATATCTCCACGTCTTCTACAACTACATCCTTTGCAATCCTTCTCCGCTTCAGAACATTCAGTTTTTTCAGAATAATCCGGGTGAGCCTGTCTTTGTGGGCATATGAATGGGCGAGCTCATACCAGTGCCGCTGCATCCATATGTTGAACCAGGCAACGTCCTTTGTGGCATGTACTGACTGTTTGAATATATCTTTCTGGCGAGGCGTCATTCTCACTTTGTCAGGTTTGAAAGAGTGTCTCGAGCGTCCAAATCTTTCAATCAGGTACAACATCACGATTTCTACCAGAATTGGAGCCGTTAGAACACCGAGCATAAACCCGTAAAAAATGTACAGCAACATGGGGTAGCACGAAATGTAATTCACAAATTGAAATTCAATATAACTAAACAAACACGGCGATGCTCTAAATATGGTAGGTGTGCCATTGATCTGGCGTAACAGTTTTAAGCGAGTGTTGAACAATTCCAGATCATTTGTGAAACCTACGGTGTTTCACACGCATATTAAATTTATGGTAGTTTGTTGTGATATGCTGGTTCGTACATTCTTAAGAATAGCACAGTTCATTTATACCATCATTACCTGTGCTGTTAAGTACCATTTCTAATGGGCGTGCGCATTTGCACATGACAACAACAATTGGTAGCCCGTATTAATTACGCCCTTCTACCCAAGTGGACACGCAGACCATTATTTAGAGGCTGAGTGCCTTAATTACAGCGTTGTACTGGAAATGGTGTTGGAATAACAGCGCCTGTTACCAATGAATACGCATATTTCCTGTTAAAAATGACTTTAGTCGATTCCAAACCCTTAAGACCGCGTTGACAAATCACCCCATGAAGCAGAACAAAACGCACAAACTCGTGTGCAAAGAATTTAAAGAGACCGGTACATGCCGGTACAAAGATGATTGCAAGTATCTTCACACAATAGATGTTGATGACGATATTATCTGCATGATATGTAGGAAAGAATACGATGAGAAGGTTATGGCTGATTGCGGGCATGCGTTTTGTTTGAAATGCGCCTTTGACGAGTATCAAAAAGATGATAAATGCTACAAGTGCAAAATAAATACGTATGGAAGGTTCAAACCGCTGTTTTGATCGATCAGAACACCGTTCACCATACCTTCTGGAACACACGGTGCACAATGCGGAACCAGACCAAAATATTCTTTGCTTATACCTGGAAAGGGAATAGATTTTACCAGTGGCAGTAAACATTTCATTTTTGCAGATTGGTCAGTGTGAGTGAACTCGTACAACTGCAATTATCTTTGCTGGACCTTAATACGTTTAGAGAATCAGATTTTATTTAATAAAATAATTTTGGTTGTAGAACGTACCATTTTATGGTGTGATCAGCCGTGCTCATTCCAAACGAGAACAATTCCCTTCTGCAAGCAACCAACGGTCCAGCTCTATGCTACCACCTCACTGTTGAACATCTATACCAGCGATATGATCCCTCGCAGCAAAAAATGCCTCGTTTCCCTTTGCCCAGCTGCAATCAACACAGGCACTGGCCGAAAAAAGACACATCATTTCGTGTAGCATGACAAGGCAGCAATTTTAACAAAATTAGTGGCAGACCAACATCCAAACGGAGTTAACACCAAATGGTAAACACAGGGCTAAAAGACAAGAATTTAACTAATGAAAAGGCGAAGCCTTTTCTGCCAAACATTATGTTCCTCAACGAAGAACAGCTCACAGAAGCGAGTCTTGGTCTATCCGATTGGGGTGTAAGTTGCAGATCCGCAAATGTTCCAACTCAGCAGTGCCTCATTGCTGGAATGAACCCCAGCGCAAGGATGGGTAAAATTTTTTAGAAACCTAAAAAGTCACACGAAAAGCGGCTTTTTCAAAAAATAGTTCCATTGGTCATGGTCCGTTCCATCGGATCATGAAAGTGTGTTCGTTTGAATGGCACCTGTGTATGAGGTGATAAAAACCACTTTTTAGTAAAAAATAATTTATTTGCCATCAACACACGCCACATCGCTCAAACTCTTCCTGTGGCTTTATTAATGACGAAAAACGACTGGTTGAACGTTAATTTTGCGGTTGAATAGGGCGAAAAGGAAAATAAAACGATTACTTACGAATTCCTTCTAAACGAAAAAATGTGAAGATTGCAGCGAACAAACGCAGTTAGGAACATTTAATGATTGTTATCGTTGACATCACGCATCAAAGGCTATGCGTACGAAACGGTGCAGATAATGCGATGCAAAATGTGTTGATGTCAAACATAGCTGTCCATGTTTACGCTATCTACGGCAGAAAACACATGAAAAAAATTCATTTATTCTGGTTCTCGGTCTAAAATGGGCACGAACGGTTCATCATGGCTTTTTGGTCAATCAAAAATAATATGCTGTACGTTTACAAATGCTACGCTATTTTGACCCGTAATCATCGTTCCACTTCTCGTAGGCCTTGAGATCGTTCTTGGATACGCTTTTCCTTATCTGCTGCAGCGCCTTCATAAAATCGTTTTTCACTATTCTCCTGGTGCTGCCCTCGACTGCCTTAGAAATGTCATCGATTTCCCTCAAAGGCTCCATCGCAGCCTCCCTACATAAATTAAACATATCAGAACCAGAATAACCATCAGTTGCAGCGCAGATCTCCCCATAATCATCGTCAGCAAGATCAAATTGAAGTTCTTTCATCAAGGACTTGATCATCTGAACGCGAGCTTGTCCTTCTGGCAGCGGCACGTAAATTCTTTTAACAAGTCTCCTCCGGGCAGCCTCATCAATTTCGTGTGGCCTGTTCGTTGCCCCGATAATGAGGATTCTTTCTTTGTTTGTGCACCCTGCACCATCAAACTGCACCAAAAATTCTGTTTTTATCTTTCGCGCACTCTCGTTCTCGTTATCTGTCCTTTGCGAGAGCAGAGAATCAATCTCGTCAATAAAAATAACAGATGGCTCCCTTTCCTTCGCTACATGAAAAAGTGCACGCACAAGTTTCTCGCCCTCGCCAACCCACTTAGAGGCCAACGATGATGCGCTTATCGAAAAGAACGTTGCCTTGATTTGCGATGCTATGCATTTACCGATGAGTGTCTTGCCTGTACCCGGTGGGCCGAACAGTAAAATGCCTTTTGGTGGTCCTCGCAGGCCTGTGAACAGATCAGGTCGGAGCATCGGCCACACCACAATCTCCTTTATAATTCGCTTTGCACTTTCCAACCCGGCTATGTCATCCCAGCTGGTATTCAATGCGCTGTTTAGTATTTCTGATTCGATTTTGTTTATGATGTGATCCTCCAGGTTGGTGGTGCCCGCGGACCCTTTTTCCTTGCTTATCGGTTGATTCTTAGCTGTCGTAAACTCATTTGTTCCCTTTTCCATCCTTTCGATCGCAACAGCACCAGTGTCATCAAAAAAATCGCCCTCAATCTCTTTGTCCACCAGCACATCTCCTACTCTGTCCACATCTATCTCCATGGGGAACATAAAATTGCTGATCAGCTCTTTGTCGACTCTGTCAGTCACTAGATATTCCATCATGAGATTCTTCAACTCGTTATGTACGCATTTTCTATCGTCTTTTGGCACAATGAACACAAATGGCATCTTTTCGTTTTCCTCTAATTTCTCCTGTACCGCAAAATATTTGTTAAACATAAGGAGCTGCATAAATTAGATTTTTATAAAATTCAAGTTTCTTTGTCATGAACGGCTAAAATGTCACGTCCTAAATGCCACACCGTTCAATGCTTAAAACGACCTAATCATACTCATCAGGGAAATATTGTGATTGCGAGCCTTCGCATCTAATCGTTTGTACCATGAGCAGAGCAAAAAGCATATCAATGCATGGCACGCCTAAAAAGACACGATTCGATCAAAAATTAATTTCTTGCCCTCACCGAAGTGCGCATGAGCACGAGAGGTAGTCTTGAACAGATCATAATGATATTGTAGATTTTATACAGAGGTGATTTATTCACTGTTACTATGAATGAATCACCTTTTGCCGATCTATTGAATAGAGCGTTATCACGTCTGGTTATGAGTACCGTTCAATTTCACATATATGAATAGCATGGTCGGTCTCACAGCTGATCAAGTTATTATCTCTGGCGTTTCATTCAAATAAAGCATCTTCATGTGATAGATATGTTTAAAACTTCGCAAAGGTACTTCATTTCATTCCCTAGTAACATATATTATCGTTTCTAACGAATAGTTTTATACTCCGTTCCGTAAGCAAACTGGCAAACTCCGCATTTTTATATGAAAGGAATTATCACTGCACCGACTATCCGTCTCCCATTTCACTATCGCAACAGCTGTTAAATATTTGCTTGGTTCCCAGTTCAATTTGTTAGTTTCTGTTCACAATTTTACGATTGTTCATTCTATAATGATGTATTGATAGCTGAATGCCGAATAAAATCATTCTCGGCCTTTTGTCTGCTCTTCCAATACCCCATTGTTCAGCTTTCTCACACCACTATTTACCATGGATATGTTCTACACGTGCTAATCATTCGTTCTCATTTCAACCGCATTAAAATGCATGCACAAAATCACCACCAATCAATCTACAGCCCATTTGCTATCGTTACCAACCGCAGCGCACCTATTACCGGATCTTAGGTCGTTGTTTATTCTCATCATTCCTTGATCAACATACACGCCTCCCAGACTGTTTGCACTGCGGATAGTTATTTGCAGCAACCATCTCAAAAGAGAAGCAACACAATGCATGAATAAATATTTAATTATTTATTGAAACTCTCACAATTTTTACATTGTTATCTCCACTTATCATTAATTTGCAATCTGTGGCCTGACCTGCCGATGGTTAAAAAATGGTACGTGGAAGGGACGTAAAAAATGCCCATCAAAATATGGAAATGAAACACAATTCTCGACCAGAAATTTTTTTTTTAACACCTATCAAAGCGTGGGCAACACCAGAAGAATGAAGAAGGCATGATACAATGCTGGTTTAACGTAAAAAGAGAAGCAAACAAACGCGACAGTCAATACCTGAATTCATACCGGTTTCTTCCCTTCTTTATTAGATATCCCTGGTTGTTCATGTTGCTAATTATTTGTTCTGCTGGTTTTTTTAGTCCGAGTTTTTCTACAAACGAATTGAGTTCTTCTGTAGAAAATACGTTTTGTCCTCGGGTGCTCATCTCTTTCAAATACTCGAGCAGATCAGTCTTTTTGAACGTTTTTTCGCGTTCTTTAAACAATGTTTTCTCATACAACTGTATAATTATCTCAGCATCCCTTTTGCTTGCTATATTGCGCAGCTCCATCTTTGCCTTTGCCTCTGTCAGTCTCATCAACGACTCCAGATCTCTTATAGTAATATTTTCGTTCTTTCGTAGTTTCAAGTAATAGTTTTGCAACTTGCTTTTCGCCTCGGTTGTAAGGACGGGGTTCACCACGTTTCGTGCATAGAGAACGTATTTCTTCAACAATTCTTGCTCATAAATTGTTGGACCCGCCTTCAACAGATGACTCAAATTGTCGTTCCGTATTAAATCTATTAGATTGTCTTTGGTTTTTGTACAAACAGCATTCTCCCTGTTCTTCTGGCTTTCTTCGATTGTGCCCTTGTTCCTTCTGAATTTTTTAATGATGTTTTCACTCACGTTGTATTCTTCGTTCACATTCTCCAGCAGCAAGTAGACCAAGTCAAACCTCGAAATAACTTGTTCTTTGAATTTAATGTTTTCCTTTATCTTTTTACTCACATCATAGTGTCCAAACTTGGGATTTGCAGCCGCTATTATGGTGGTTCGTGCTGGGACTTTGCATACAACCCCGCCCTTGGCAACCGATACCATCTGATCCTCCATCACCTCAAGCAAGGAGGTGGGATTCTCTAATTTATCGAATTCATCGATACAGCAGAGACCGTTGTCCGAAATGACCAGGGCTCCTGCGTCAGCCACGTAGTCATTTGACACGGGATCGTGCGTCAAGGACACCGTGAGTCCAGCAGTCGTCGTGAAATTTCCGCACACAAATGTGCTTTTCGGTAACAATGAGCATGCGTTAAGAAGCATTTTGCTCTTGCCCAAGCCAGGATCTCCTACAATGAGAATGTGTATATCAGGCCGTATAACACTCTCACCGCAGTACTTAATGGTTCCTCTAAACAACGATAGAAGAATACCGAACAAGATCAATTCATTCCCGTATATTTCAGGGAACAAAGATTTGATAAATGACGAAATTATGTTCGTCGACTTTGCAATTTCTATAAATTTGCTGAAATCAGGCTCTTCATAGTTAAAATTGAAGGGCGTCACTTTGTTCTTCAGATGAGCCAGGCTGTTTACCTCTATTACCAGCTTGTACATGGCTTCATTCTCCAGCTGTGTCTTTATCACGCCCACCACCTGAATCACATCTCCAGGAACCAATGTGCCGACCAGATCATCATATAATACACAGTCAATCATTTTTTGCGCGTCCAATTCTATATTTGATGTCAGTTCCTGCAGCTTGATAACCTGGTAATCACGTATTGCTGTAGAGTCTTTGAGTAGCCTAAAAAACTTGGATTTGCAGTTACCTAGGCATTTCGAGGGATACTTATATTCACTGGTGCAGATGGTTATGATCTCTTCGCACTTATCGCACTCAAATACCAGCTTGGACACTTCAATTTTCTTCGGACCGATTCGGCAAACCGTGCCCTCTATTTTTACAAGACTGTAAATGTTTTCACTCTTGACATATGCAAATGGCATCAACTCGCCGTAATTTTTTATTCTGACCGTGATCTTTGTTAACCTTTTCCTGCACACGAGAAGAATGTCCGAAATAACGACGGCCATACATTTGATGCAGTTCTCCGCATTTTCCTTGATCTGTTTTTCGCCAGAAAAATCTACAAATGCTGCGTATTCTATTTCGAATATTTTCGTTTGGGCAACGCCTTCCACATCGATCCTATGTTTGCATTGTTTTATCTTTGATTGCATGCTTTCTATCATTTCTACGTTCTGGTTGAAGTGTGTGTATTCGTCCTGGTTGAAGTAAAGCGACCATGACTCAGTTGTGCCCATGCACAATTTTTAATTTTTTTGGTTTAATATGTTGAAAAGTCATTCAGCACCAGAAAATAATTCTTACAACGAAAAGTGAAATACAGGGAGCAAAGCATAACAAGCGGTCAATCCACTGTTATTTTTCAGCTTTTTACCTGTTATAAATGAATAAACGTGTCGTACCTCTCCATACGTCGTAGTTTTGATGAATTGATATTACCAACCCAGCTTAACTGTTCATGGTTGATTTAGGAGGAAAACTCAATCTGTAACATTGTTTCAAGCTCTGCAATACCAGACATGTGAAAAGATATTAATGTTTTCATCAAGCCGTAGATCCGTTTATTAGTATATTAACGTTTTCATCAAGCCGTAGATCCGTTTATCATGGTACCAATATAAAACACATATAATTTCGTATTGCATATGAAACTAATAACGATCTAAAAAGATAGAAATGATCAGATAGCATCATATCACACATGTGAAACAAGAGTAGTGATGGTAAGGTGCTTATTTTCTTTTTTTGCTAGGAATCGTTTATTTTTCCTTTCATACAGCGATATCAAGACATTTTTGAGCAGAATTGATTAATTCATTCACAGAGTGCTACCATAGGAAATGCACAATCAAGAGCTATAAATTAACTTTACACGTGAAAAAACAATTGATAGATTTGATTTGTGATTTAATAAATAACACGCATTAAAATGAGCTCGTTCCAGGATGTACTCGCAAAGCATTATATTCTCTATTTGTATAAAAAATCCTTGCCAACACTGAACAAATTAAAACACAGAACCACCAAATTTAAATATATTTATTTTAACATATGTTGTTAGCCGGCAGGTTATATCGTTGCTGCCAGCACCGATAATCTAAGTTTCTATAGCGGTGTCTGAAATACGCTGGATTGCAATCATCGAAGAGAATCACAAACAATGCACCTATTTATTTATACTTAAATTATTGCTAAGACACGCTGTCTATAATTTGTTATGGGCACAGATGTTCATTGTTTTGAGCATTTTTGCGCTGTAATCCTTGTTTTGTTTCATTTTATATCTTACCCAGTTGCTCTCGATGACAGATTTTTTTCTAAGCTTGAACCGATTTAGAAGCGATATCTCCATAAGCAAAGCGAAGCATAGCCCAAAGAATACCTGTGCCGGTGTATGGTGGTTGTAGAAAATCCGAGTGAATATTCCGAACAATCCTATTAAGAACGTGAGAACAGACATGTTGTACATGAAGTACTGTGTGTAGAACACGGAGTGTGTGCTGGGAAATGCGTAGTTCGAAGTAAATACGTAGATAGTGCCATCTATAATACCCCTTATGTACCCCCGATTGTCATCGCAGGGTCTCTCCACTCTGAAGTAGAGCTTCAGAATGTTGGAAACGGCAAAGCAGAGCACAATTCGTATGATCTGATTCGAATGATAAACACTTCTTCTTGTCAATCCTCTTAAATGATATACACACAGTACCAGGGGAAGATATGTGAAAAAAGCATCGACTATCATCAGGGGCACTTTTATTTTTTTCTTTGTTATTTATTTTTCTATTCGTTACAGTCATGAAATGATGAATCAAACATTTCTGTTTACGAACCAAAATTTAGTTTCCTGCACAGACCAATCATTTAAACCGTTTGAATGAAAATAAAAGTGGCAAACGAATGATATCTGCAGAGAGCACATTTTTAGAAAATATGAATAAATATTTAATCAGGTAAATTGCTATTAACACGGATTATCAACTGCAGAAGTGTAATTCATACGATCTAAGTTGCATGTCACCAAATGGATATAACGTATTAAATGCAGCATCATTACCGTTCGCTTTAAATTTGCGAGCTCGTTATTTCCAACAAGGGGATTTCGTTGTTGATGACTGGTATTTCTTGTGTTAGAGGACTGCCTACCGTGGAGCAAGAAAAAAATTGTTGAGCACTGTGCGAGGAAACGAATAATCTTTCGTATGTTTATAGCATTGGTACGAGCAGTATGCCGGTGGACAAGAAACTAAAAGTTGGTGAAAGCACCACCAATCACGGAAGAAGCTTCTAACCACACACAGTAATCATAATATTACTCTCACAAACTATAACAATGACTGCTTATGATCAATTTATTAATGATAGATAGCAATATAAGTACATTTGATTGGTTACTTTGTCTAAACTCGGTTGGTGCACGGAGGAGAATTAAGTGCATTCATGGTTTTTGAATGGAGGAGGTGAGATGATCTAATGCCAAATAGTTCGTGCAAAATTTATGAAAAGTACGTCAACCGGTGTAGTAAGCATCATTATTTAGGTTTTTGTTGTTCATTGGTAGTTACATCCTACTCCTGGATACGTTTTGTTACTACGGTTCCAACAGTGTCACCGCGATACATGGATAGTCCGTATGAACGGTATGTATTTCGGTGAGATGTTCGTAATCGCTATGCAATCCAAGTATGGACGGGAAGACTATCGCAGGCAGCACTTTGTCTGTTAGTACGTCCGAAAGATGCTGTTCAAGGTCAGAAGATAGGAAATATACTAGAACAGGCCGCACACGTTATTTTGCAATACAAGCGATTTAATCTACTCGATTTGCTCTTGCACTGCCACCATTGTCCATTTTCTGACAAGCTGCTTGCTCATATTCTTGATTTCACCAACTTCGCGGTTGTTCAGGCTATAGAAATACACAATTTTGCCTATTTCACTCTCAACCAGCTGGTCCCTGCTAACGTTGGTTTTGAGAAGAAACGATAAAATTTCATTTTTAATTTCAATGTTGGGCAACGAGTTATCCGGAAGAGGCTCAAGCCATTCTCTCAAAATCAAAAGAGTCTCTGTGTCGATGTCGTTGCGCAGAGAATAGAGAGCTTTTATACAGTCGTTCAGGCGACTCAATCTATTCAGTGCTGGTTTTCCGTTCTTGTTAAGCTCCTTGTCTCTGAAAATAGCGTCTTTCATCCTTGACTTTACGGCAGAGAGCGCATCGTGTTCCTGCTCCATTTTCTTAAGGGACCAGAATTTTTGTAGCACGAAAATTGCACTGAGCTATCGAAAGTATGACCGAAAAAAGCGGCAAATATTGAGGTACCAACTTAGAATGCATAGTTATTTAGTGCGCGATCGTGTACATAAAGAATGAGCCATGTAGTTATTTGAGAATAATAATTTAATTAAAAGATACGAATAAATGTGGTATAAAGGCTGTCGTACAATAATTGGGTATAGAAGAAAGGAGAACGTTGTGTTTTCACTTAGGAAGAACGAACCGGCAAAGTAACAAAAACGTGGAGAATTCGAGGTTTGAACTCGAGACCTTTTACTTGCGAAGCAAACACTCTACCACTGAGCTAATTCCCCGTTGCTACGCACGGAATTACGGGGTAATAAAAGAAAAGAACAACAAGCACCGTATACTGCTCATGATACAATAATACATCCCTTTGGGAAGTACAAATCGTCACCAGAGCATTCACATAGCATACCTTGTATTAACATAGCCAAGTAAATCGTATATCTGATCGTGATGTGCATCATTGTTAAGCCCATCATTTCATTTCCTAAATTCATGTGAGAAAATTTGCCCTGGCATGGAATTTTATGCAGAAAACGACCGACTTTGCATTCACAACACAAACCGCAATCTTCTGACCCTTGAGCTCTCGTTCATCGAGGAAAAAGAAGTTAAAAAACCGGTAACCACTCCTTTGTTGCACCCTGAGCCACCATCGGTTATCAGCGACATATCGCTTCGTGAGAACATACACATCGAAGTTGAACATCCATTCAGTCAGCACTTCAAATTCCACCACAAATTTTTGGTTAAGTACCTGTTGAGCATAATTTATGACGGGGAAGTTCACTTAAAGGTGACATGCTTTGAGGATGAATTGAAATTTGATGCTGTCTTTGAAACGTTAAGTGAGCTGTTGAGACGAAAGGATGGCACACAGATGGAAATAGTCTGTGATGATGTGCACAAGAGAATTTCTGTTGCAGGACGGGTAGTGTATGAAACCAGAACATTTTTTTGACTGGCCATATTCTGTAATAAAATGCGCCTTTATGTTCAATTGGTATTTTACACACTCTTGGCGTGTCTTTCATCCTTCAAGAATCAAATTTCCTGTTCTTTTGAGTTTGCTTCATTATTTGACACAAATCATCGGTAGATCCTTTCTTAATGCGGGCAATGAGCGAATTATCATTTTTTATGAGCGGTCTTACTATCATGAAAATGGCTCTGCTACCGATCAACCCAGTAGTTATATTATGACCATACCACCATCAATACCATTTTTACTTTGTTCTGAGCTTTGCATGCAACGCGTATTACAGAAGAAAAAGATGATTTAAAGCAAAATTGTAGCCTTTTACACTTGATGTGGAGCTGTAAAATCTGTTTTAATTGGCAAAACATACACACCGATTGCTGACGTAAATATTGCTATTTTAGTATCCCCATGAAGGAACGATTGAGTGCTTTCCACCTCAGCTGCGTTCCTGAGTACTTAACATTCCTCAAAACCTTTAACATCCTTTTCTATGGCTATGGCGATAAGTCAGTACTTTTAAGGAGAATGTTTCCTAAAGCAAACTTTATAAATGCTTATCCCGCTGCTCTCTCTAAGAGTAGAACCAACATAATCCTGAAATTTGACTTTAGAAACGCAGATCCAGACAGCTTTCCAAAGAACAACGTCATCTGCACCTTGGATACGATGGACCCTACCAAGATTAGCTTCTGTGATGAGGATCTTGAAGATTTTAACTTCATAATGAAGGACCTGACCACGTACATGCCCTATGAAAACATAGTGGAAAAATATCGGGCTGAAATTGACATTGGAAATCTGCTGAACAATGTGCCCAAGCGTAGCAAAAATCTTTTTAAAATTTTCATCAAGCTGTGTGAGGGTAACCTCGTTCTCATCACCGATTTGCTAAACGTAGCAAAAAAAGAGATGTTTATAACCAGTGCCAAGACCGTGTACCAGCTGTTCGGTGAATTTGTGGATCACCAAATCATCAAGTACAAGGAGGATAAAATAGTGCTACTGGTGAAAAAAGAGAAAATACTGAGTTGCATGGTTGATTGAGCAAGTGAGGTGTTGCACGTGCCTATTGATGTGAACCAGCATTTTATATGAAGGTGTGCTTGTCCAGCACTTTTAATAAAAGTGATGTTTACCGTACTGCACATCCACAATCGTTCACCGAATGGGTACTTTTACTGCAAAATACAGTCTGGCAGACCGCCGGGCCATTTCACGAAAAAATACACCAGGTCTTTTATGCAAAGATTAAAACTGACCATTCAGCTTCCGAGTTGCCTTTTTATTGTATGATGAATGGACTGTAACAAACAATTTTAAATGCCGAGATGATTCCTTGTACGCAGGTGCAAGCGCCATGTAACAATCTTAGTTGAATGTTCAAATTGTGGGTAAAACCGGTTTAATCGCCAAACCATATTGCAAAGAACTTGAAAAGCGCCGCTCGCTTGCCATTATTCAGAACTATTGATATCGAAATTTTTACTAAAAGTACGTTTATGTAGGTATTAACACGAAACACCTGCTCATCCTCTTTTTACCCTATTTTTTTTACACGCGCTGCAGTACCAGTTGCTCTTAGGTGTGTGCACTAGTCCCACACACTCGAAGTGGTACCATAAAATCTTGCACTCCGGATCATCGCATCGTATCATATCACCAAAGGCGCTTGTCTGGCATAAACAGTACTTTGGCTGTTTTATATCATTGTTAACATCTTCTTTCGGTATTCTGGTCTTCAAAACACTGGGATTCTTTAAGGGGTCACCAATACTGCTTTTCCACTCATCCGAAAACTCCTTCTGCATATCTGCAAATATTTCACGGGTGCTCTCCACTATAACATCCATAGAAACTTTTCTTTTCCTGTTTAAATGGCTAATACTCGCCAGACATTTCTTTACCTTCTTCTCGTACGTTTTTTTGCTCAACTTGAGACCACGCTTAAAATATTTATGTAGCTTGCGTGTGCACTTTATTATCCTGTTATCAATGTTTTGTATGTTAATAATTTGGTGCTGTGCATCCAACGGGTACAAATGTACATCATTTAGTATTTTGTCTAGCGCTTCGAAAGGATTTGCCATGGGTGGAACATGAAAAAATTATTTTACGTATTTGCTGTTGAAAAGCTATTTGATCAGAAATTGCACGAATAATTCGTTGTAATAAAAGGTTTTGCACTTCTCCTCCGCACAGCCGAGAAGTCATCACAAAACCTTTTATTACAACCCATCTCAAACGATAAACTAAAAATATAATGAAAAGGGATATTCTCACGACGAGCAGCCGTCCGCCACGCGTTTTTGAGTTGAAATTGCGATACAAAACGCCAAATGTTGAGATTACAATACATTTCCACAAAATAATGCAATATTTGGAACGAAACGGTGAAGGAATAACTTTAACACGTGTAATTTTCAAGAATATTATCCTAAGAAAAGTAAAAAATACCTAACAAAATAACCGATACGTCAGCAATGAATATTATTGATTTTTATGTAACCAGTAGAAGCGCAACTGTTCCTCAACGAATTCAAGGATTTTCTCGTCGTCTAGTTTGTTTATAAACTCTTCATTGTTATTCAGGGCATCCAGAATAATAAGCGATTGCGGATAAATAAGAAAATTACTGTAAGGCTTTTCCTTCCAATATTCTAGGTATCTAAGAAATCTTCTGAATTCGGAATCCTCGAAGTATCCCTTTTGGTACAGGTATTGTAAATAGTATGGATTGCACAGCAACTGAACGAACTCCAGCTCTTTTTCGAACTTGGTCAGCATTGGCGGGGTGTATAAAATAACAAAGTCTAAAACGTTCCCCATTAAACCGCATCGTAGAGAAAGTCCGTGTTCCGCAAGACAAGGTGATACTTTATAAACAGCAGTAGTTAATAGTCAACAGGCCATAATTTACCAATCGCATCAACTTGTACTCATAATTGGTTATAAAGTGTAGTTTAACATGTTTGGTCTGTTCTGCTATTAAAATTACCATTTTTTCTTACCTGCACTAAGTGAAATATCCATTCAAAACAACATATACAGCTCATATACCCATCAACTTCTACATTTTATCTTGAGACGCGGTTTAAACTCTGTGATGCATTCTTCAGAAGGACGATATCTATCATATTTTGATTGGGAGTGGTTGAGCGAGTAGACAAACGTATCGTTAATAATGCACCAAGATTGAAACTGGTGTTGAAAACGAAAAGTATGTAGTAGCAAATTAAACCTGATGAATAGTATGTTACCACGCCCATACACAGAGGAAATAGCCATTAACACTATCAGGGATGGTCAATACCTTTGCTGATTGATCACCTCAATCATTTGCAATACGAAGAGCCCTAAATACCTAAGTACAGATAGTGATTATGGAAACAATATCAAGTGTTTGCTCTGAACTCGGCCACCTACATGAACAAGTCTTCTGAAAGAATCGCGAGAAGATCATAGGGTATATTATTACTGTATTATGCCGTATACCTCATAAGTGAGTAAATATTAGTGTGATATAATGGATTGGAATGGCATCTTAAAGAAATATTCTCATACATAGAAAACACAGCTAGTCGAAACAAACACGCTTTCGATGGAAAAGCGGAAATGAAAAGCTTTGGGCCAATTTCTTTGATGTTCGCCATACCACAGTGCTTACTAAAATAGATTAGGAACAAAATCTGCCACCATATAAACGGTTAACGGGGTGGTGGCTGAATCAATGAGAGGGTGGTTGGATAGGATGCAGCATAGGTATGAAATATACCGCAACGAAAGCGATGAACACAACGAGAATAGTTTGTTCCATATTTAATTCTGCGCACTACCAAAATTATTCGGGATTAGTTGCACATGAATGAGTAAATCGCATCACAGACTTTCCTTATCACGTCTCATTATCAGGCTCTACTGCCAAATTGTATTGTCAAACCTTTGCTCGCTGCATATGCTAGACGAGGCGATAAGACACTAAAAACTGAATGCGTTTTTATTACAAAAGGTTCACCAGAAGAGAAAAATAACGATCCATCTATGATGGAGATGTGCAGGTGAACACTTGTTAATATAGGAATTTTTACTATTTGCTTTGATAAGGAGTCGTACTACGTTGTACGTGGTAATTTGTGACTAATTTGTACCCTGTGCTACCTTAAATCTTTAGGATAACACGCACTAAAAATTAGAATATATCATAGTGAAAGGTGCTGTAAAGTACACCTGATGAATAATTCACGTGGTCAACGAACGGATCTGATTGTTTTTCTGCTATCTGTAAATATGACCAAGAATAGAATCTAACCAAGATGGTATTTATTATTTATTAGAGATAAGTGCTGCCTAATCAATGGAACAGTACAAAATTCATTTATTGATCCTGTTACAGCTCACACCATGTCCAATTGATAATACACACAAAACTCGTGGTACATCTGTTTTCGCTGACATTACGCTCATGTGTATGGCTGTAAAATTACATTTAGCCATTAATTTGATAATCTTACCAGATAGGTATAATTACCATGCCTGAAGTTCCGTCACCAGCTAACCCGGAATCTTGTTGTGTTAACCTGTGGGGCGGTTCAATCAGTTTGAAAGATACTTTGACGTACGATCCAGGAGCATTTCGATGCCAAATTCGAATGTAATGACATTGTTTAATTATTTGTTGATAACTGATTAATTGAAACATACTTAGGTAAGCAGCTGACTCATTTGTAAGAATTTATGATAGATGGACGTTAATTGATCAAAAACAAAGCGTCTGACCCGGAAGAAATCCCATATGTGCTGTTGTTTAATGGTAATATAGATGCAATGCTAAAATACGACCTGTTTTTCACCGCTGCATGTATTTGCTACAATGGCATGTTCCGATCACAGTTCATTGTTTTTCGTTCCTTCGTACCCTTTGAGATGAAGGAGAACTTTTTATTTCAGGGCCAGTATAACCAGACGTATGTCACGCGTCTTGTGAAAATGCGACCGCTCATAAACCTCAGCGCGTGCAAAAACGCTACAATACTGCCTAATTTGTCGGAGAGCAGTAATGCGAATGGACCTGTCGCTTTTGTTGCCCTTTTGTACGTTGATGGCACGAACAAAGAAACTATTTTTGACGAAACGGGCCTCATAAACAAGGAAAGAGTTGTAAAACCGTATGAAAATCTCACGTACTATGTTGAAGACGAGAGCTGTCGAGTCGAAGTAATATTTGAGCCCGAAGGCCTATTCGTCACCGGACAGGTGCTCGGTTTTCTCGCTGAAAAGAATACACACAGCTTAACCATCAAGGATGTAATTTATCCCGAACAGTTAGAACAGACAGGTCAGCCCGAACATGATGTTATTTGCTTTATTGCCGACCTAAAAATACGGAATAGCATGGGCGAGCTGAATGTTGTCATCGATTACATAAGTAACAGCAAAAGAGTCACCGATCTGGTGATCATTGGTGATTTGTTTGACGAGGTTACCAAGGAGAACGCTGATCTTCTTACCCAATTTATAGAAAATTTTGGAGCGGACACTTTTATAATACCAAATACAAACGACCCAACGAATAAGTTGCTACCTCAGCAGCCGATAAGCAATCGCCTGATCGATTACAACTGCCTTTTTCTTCCGAGCCCAGCACAATTCGAAACGGGGACTAAAATGCTTTTTATACCACCCGTTGCTGTCAATGATATAAAATTATACGGAGAAACATCAGCTATCAAGATAATGAAGATGCTTGTGAGAACAAGACATATATGTCCGACAGCACCTGATACAGTCGGATGCATACCGTACAAAGACGAGGACCCGTTTATTTTGAACGAGATGCCCGACTATGTTTTTACACTTGGTGATAAATTTGAAAAGGAGATAGGCAAGATCACCTATTTCGTGCTGCCCAGCTTTTCAAAAACAAAGAAAGTCATCATTTTAACGTTAGATAAGTGCAATTTTGAAACAATCGCTCTAGAGTATTAAATAAAGACGGATATTCCATACGGGTGAATATTGAGTGATAAATACTCAGCTACTCATGTAATACAACCGCTTATATCATCATACAGGTATGTTACCACATAAAACCTTAACTATTTATTTTTTACTTTGTTCACTCCAGATTACTCGAGGCGTACCTTGTGCCTGGATATACATCCCGTACTTGGTAAAACTTCATCCATAGACACAAGAAATGTAACTTTCCAGTTGATATGTCGCTATAAATGATGTGCTTTTAACCGCTAGGCCAATGCACCACCGTGAAAAACACTTATGTCACTCAAATTCAGATCGTAAACGGCAGAATGTTCATAAACTAAATTAAAAATGAATGAAATCATGCCAAATAAAAATGGTAAAGGGGCAAGCAAAGATCGGCACAATTCGTTGTTTAAAGGTTGCAAACCAGATTTTAATTGGCAAGGTCCATTTAGACTGTCGTGTTACCGAGACATAAATTATAGCTCAGCATGAACAAAAAATACTTTAGTACCGGTACTCACCGACCTATCAGTAGCTAATTTCAACTATGACGGTCTTTTCATCATCCATTTCGTACTTGTAATGCGGCATGGCCATCAATTCTACTTCAAAAAACACGGTCGTGTGCGACGGACCATCAACATACAGGCTCTTCAAGCACTTAAACAGCTTGTTATTAGAGCCGACATAGAACAAATCTCTCGATTCAATACCTAATATAGCATCGTTATACTTTATAAGGCTTCTTTTCTCCTTTATTTGGTACAGCAATGTTTCTATGTCTATTATCGGAAGAATGGCCACTCCCTGCCACGGCAGCAACTTGTCAAACATGTCAATTTTTATTTCGGTTGGAAAAGAGTTGAAAATAGGGTGCATCTCTTTCGGCACCAGGCCTTTCGACTGCGGCGGCATAACAAGCATTTGCTGCTGAAGACAGTCGAGCGGCTCTGTTCGCTTGTTCAAATATGGCATGCTTCGAACGTTCGCAATATCACAGGCAAAGGGAGCGTAGTCGTATGGATAGAACCATTCCCAATTGGTGGCGCCCTTTACATAGTACTTGAATACCCAGCTCAATCCCAAGATGTATTCTCTACACACTGTAATAACCTCTCGCTCTGATTTAAGGCTCAGCTTGGTGTCGTAGTAGCGTGTCTTGCCATAGGTGGTCTCTAGCGGAATGTTCTCGAAAAATCCCTTTATCTGGAATCGGCGTCGTGTATCTGCCAGAAGCTTTTTCTTCTTGACGTAAAGGCTATCCTCATGCTGCGACAATATTTTAAAGAAGTTCCGAAGCACAGAAAAATCGATTTCGCCTTTGTATGTGATGTATTTTTTTGTTTGGTTGAAGTTCTCGGCGAGAAGTTTTGTCAAAATTTCGATAGCCTCAAAACGCACATCGAAACACTGTAAGGTCGGGAGAAAGTCGTTCCCTGCAAGAAAGGACATGAGTATCCAGTCATCTACCATCCTATTGAACTCGTATGACGTGTGCACTAACATCGAAAGTTCCTCTGAAAGGATTCTTTTGAGCACGATCAGGTCGAAGAAAATACACGAGAAGAGCGCAAGCTTGTTACAGTAGGTGCTCAGATGTCCTTTCTTGCCACACTTTTCGCAGTAGTGCTGTCGTTGCAGATGCACAAACTCGAGATCCTCGCGCATGATCTTCACGTTTCGCCCATGCAGCGAAGTACCGAGAAAAATAAGATCTGCGTCTGGTGAATAAATCGTGTGCTTCAAATTCCTATTTTTCATCTTCCGTATCAGTGTCATTATTTTCTGTTCTCCTTCCCCAGCCCTACGCCCATTACTGTAAATAAAGCACAGGTTTTTATACTTTGGATCGTTCACGAGTCTGTTCCGGATGAATTGATCCATTCTCTTTTCCAAATCATACATGAACCTGGTGCCCGGTGTGATCGCATTCTTGTCAAATGCCTCATCTTCTGTGAGCGAGCTTTCCTCCAGCAAATCGCTGGCATGTTTGTCATATTCGCCAATCTCAACGTCTTCAGGCTCAGCATTTTCCTCGTTGCATTTTCTCTCTTTTCTTCTGCCGTTCGCTTCATCTGCGCCGCTGTTCTTCTCGTCCGATGTAGAATTATCCATCAAGCCAACAAAGTCTACCTTGTACTCGTCCTTGATTGTCGATGCCTTTGCTAACTTTTGAATCTTTTCCTTGGTTTTCTCAACAAAATTTACGCTTTTTGTGCTTTCAAAGCTCTTCTTACTCAGCTCAAGCGCTTCAATAATACTCCTGTACCTCCTAGACCGCTGCTGATTAAGTTTTGCTCGCGGTGCCACCCCATCCGTTGATATGACAATCATTTTCCGCGGCAAACACTTGCTAACAATGCTGTCTATGTTCTTTTCCACGTTTTGCATCATTTCGTCCTCATTAACCGGTGTTGGTCCGTCAGAAGGTGCGCATGATATATGAATTATTGCGTTAAAATCTATGTAAAGAACATCTGTTGGATTGTTTGGAGTAGCCTTCTCGATTACCTGCGGATACTTTTTGGTGAGCCAGCGAAAGAGGGATGGTACGCCCATAAATTTTACCCTTTCTTTATTTTTTAAATAAATAGGTAAAAATTCTTCAACGGCCAAAGTTTGAGAACACCGGTAACAAAACACGGCCATCATCCACCGGTACTAATTCCAAGGTGACATAGCTCAAAAAATTTCCAGTTTTGTTGATACCATTTATCCTTCTATCTCTATAGAATGATATAACTAGAACGAAAAACAAGGATGTTTTCCGGCAGATAATTTGATGGACCTAACATTATTTCCTATCACTCACCGGACTAACACGGATCAAAAAGTGCTCAAAATCTTTCATCCACCAAACAGGTTCATTTATTGAAATTGTAGTTTTTCAGTGTATGATTTTTAGCATTTCCTACCGTGTCTACTGGGTAAATACCAAAGGCACCGTAAATGCCGACGGTAACTGTTAGTTATGGCTGTGGAATTGTCATTACAGTCTTTTAGACCCGGTAGCCTGTGAGTTAACGATTATTAAACGGTAGCACAGGTGCACATTATACATAAGCATATCTGCTCAATCACATGACAAAACCGTTTATTACTAGTGGCAGTTTACCCACTTTAACATTGTCTACCATTCTTTGAGTATCAGCACTGAGAGGAGCATTCACTACGTGCACTAGTTGTGCAATAATTTATGTTCGTTCATGTTGGCAGCTCTGCGGCCAGCGTTTTATGGTCTGCAATCTTTTTATTGATTAATTAATTTTTGTTGATTTACCACCACTTCTCCTCATTTATAAATGAGCAGGCGCACCGAGAAGAGGTTTCCAATAATTTTTGAAGAGCGCATTTACTTACCACATCAAAGAGATTTTTACTAAAAGGGGTTTATTCATTTCTACACCGCTCTCACAAAACATGCTCTTCCTGTATTGAGAAGAAGAAACAATATTTTCATTGAAAGCGACTTATTCACTGTTTCATACTCCATTCTCTAAACAAATACACCTTTCTGGTTCGCTAGGACCGATCATGACTGCCAGTTTTTGGTTCATAAAGGTGACAAATAATCAGAAAAGTATTTTATCCGTTTAGGATACTACAAAATACTAAAATAGTGATATGTTGCTGTAATATAAGACATTACGTATTTATTATCGTATTTTAGATTACAGAACACATTTATCTACGTTTTTTGCGTATTACTTCGTTGTAACGAGGTTTTTTGAATGCTTGATTCCAGCTCGGAAGTAATTTAAATTATAGAAGCCTACATTTTGAGCAAAAAGCGCACAAACAATGATGATGTCCGCCACCAGAGACGGTCAGAACACACTTTTTCTTTTAGCATGTTGTGCAGCACCGAATCATCTTGATGATTCATTTTTGAGAATGGCAAGGATCTTTTCAGCGTCCAAAATCTTTTTTCGGCAAATGAGTGCGATCTTCTCCATGAATTCATCGGTAAATTCGACGGTGCTCAGGTAATACAAAATATTAGCACTGCTCGTATCATCTATCATACCCGCAAACAACTTTATAAACGGATACTTTTGCATATCATACATGGCTTTGTCATACCCATCGACCTTAATTCTGTAATAATCCTGTATTATTTCTTCCGTTTGTTCTTGATTCATAGAACTCTCCCGCTTTAAAACATCAAGCTCGTTTTCTGATGAATTGTTGGTGTACAGATCATCGATGAGTTCCTCATCGCTGCTATTATCCATCTGAGGGATGAAAAATTTTACTTGGTTATTGGCACAGGTTCCTTTTTTTGTTTTGGGCGATGAGCAAAATCGATTCTGAGGTGAAAGCATAATACACCTAGTCTGTAGCACGGCAGACCTCACAATGCCTGTGAAACATCCCGCCTAACGGTACCACGTATTGATGAACATTTTTTGAGAGCAGTGCTCATCACAGCACATGCTTACAATCCAGCGGTATGTTCCGACTGTTCATGTTTCTATTACGGTCAGCCTCTGGCCAACCCGTTCATCGTACCAGCAAAATCATAAAAATAAGTCAAGAGGGCACAACCGGTATGTGAATAACCGTTTATTCACCTAAGCGGCACTTTTTGGTACGGTGCATTCAAAGCAACAAATCACATTTATCTTGCACTCAATTCCATTTTTGAGCATTTGACTAGGTCGCAATGCCACAGATCAAATGATGCGGCATTCTTCGCAACCAAGTGCAACGTGTTAAACCTTGTTTTATGAACGCGTGCCATTGGTAAATGATGAGCTCCTGTAACATTGCACTTCGTGTTACCGGTAGTTCACAGATATCATCAAATGTAGAGCATCGCTCACAGTTTTGCTAGGTTATTTCACCAATTGAACGAGTACGTTCTTCTTGGTACACCACGAAATAAGAGGCCGAAGATTTGATTTGTAAGTTGCTGGGCGCATTGCTTCTTCTCTGGTACACTTTGTGCCGCCTATTCTTACAGTTTCTACTTCCAATGTCAAGAAAGTTTGAATGTCCCCTGCTGTGCGCTGTATTTTTGGTATAAAAAAACAAATGTTCATTGACAAGGCCATAATTGCAGGAGCCTGCGATTTTACAAAGAAGCTCATTCCTTATCGAGCTAGTAATCATTTTGGAAATTGTACCATCTAAACCATCGAATTGCATGTTTATCCATACAATGCCTCAGACAGCGCTCGCTTGTTTGACACGTCAATGATTGCTTCCATTCCAAATTTAAGGGCGATGCTCGAAACGTCTTCATCACCGAACTGTGCTGTTCAGCATTTCATACCGGCATGTCCCACTGTCCTAAACCATTCTAATGATGTGACATACGCAGATAAATTAAAACTAATGCTTGCACGATGAGTAGGAAGTGTTGGAATAAAAACGGTGGTGCGCTTCGTCGTGCCAGCCGACCGTGTCTGTTCTCCCTGTTACTCCCCGGTTTTCGTGTTTTTTGCTTTCGTCTGCATTTAAGAGAAAAATGCTATCCCCTGCAAATGACTGATTTTCTGATCCTCTCAACGCTCATATTCATCACGTCCCTGATTCTGTGTTTAATACCACGCTCACTCAACAGAGTGGACAATATAAAGAAATTCTATCCACACATAACGGTGTTTGCTGCCGGCTTTATGTTAGCGATGCTGCTGCTCGACTTTATCCCCCATGTTGCTGGTATATGCAAGCACGGCAGTGGTTCAAAACACGTTGCCCACCATTCAATCGATGAGTGCGAGAACCCGCAGAGCTGTGATCAGCACCAAAACGATACCAAGAAACACGATGACCATCATGACCATTCCCATTCGCACGGATTCTTTGGGCCGAATCTGGGCTTTCTTATCGCTGGCTGTGCATTTATTTTTCTATTGAGCATCGATTCAATCGTGCTCCACCACTCCCATTGTGACAACGACCAGATCGTACAAATGAATGACGGCCTCAACCACGGTGCCCATGGACATTCGCATGCTCATGATCAGATTGGAACGTGCAACACCAGCGCAATCAAGGAAACAAAATCAAAAGTACAGGCAATCATCTTCATACTTGCGCTCTCGCTGCACTCGTTGTTTGAGGGTCTTGCAATCAACAAGCAGCGCACTTTCGGCATATTTGAGGTCGGAATCATCGTGCACAAAATGCTTGAATCGTTTGCACTCGGCTTCACCGTGCACATGGCAGAATTCTCCTTTGCGTATTCAATTGTTCTGATCACGGTGTATTCCATGCTCACACCTCTAGGAATGGCGATCGCGTATCTCTTGCCGTGTAATAAGCTTCTTAGCACGGCGTGCAATGGCCTGGCACTTGGCAGCATACTATTCATCGTCTGTGTGGAGATGATCCCGCCAAATTTCCACAGCAAATCAAGCGATCTGACGAAAATCGCCTCGTTAGCCACCGGGTATGTTTTGACAGCTGTTATAATTCATTTTATGCATTGCTAGAGCAGTTCAAATAAAGCATTATGATTTTACCGGCACTATGTTTTCAATTTTAGCAGTTCAAGTAAAGCATTATGATTTTACCGGCACTATGTTTTCAATTTTAGCAGTTCAAGAGTAAACAATAAGCTTATTTGCTCTTTAAGGCATTGTTAGCGATTGCAGAACCGCATTGGAGCGAAAACTCCGTTTTGCTGCCAATGCCTTTCCTCTTCACGATTTACCTAAAAAAGGCAGAACGTAAAAGCAAAGCAGTGCATAACATAGACTCCTAGCCAATGAAAAGGTGTTTATTTGAGTGTTGTGGTATGCGAGTAACGCACTTTAACAAAAAATATTTATGACTGGTCCTGAGCAATGGCAAAATTTACATGGTGTAAACAAAAAATTCGAAATTGCACCGCACCTGTTCTCAATTGGTAGCAAAACCATTTCTATGCTGTTACGCACATAGGACAGCAATCCTTTACATTGATACGGTTCGATAAACCATCTTAATACCAAAAATTTTGATAGTAAACTGTTTCTGTAAAAGAAACGAATTTTCAGTGTTGTAGCCGAGAAATGAGAGCAAACCAGAGGTAAGAAGGTCAAAATCGTAAAATTTGTTTAGCGTGCCGTTGATAAAGCTTTGTTGCAAATATCACTCATTAACAATTCTTCAAGTTGATACCTGCTCAACTAATGTAACGAGATCTGATAGTTTCCAATTTTGAGTGAATGATAAGAATTTGTGTTATAGAAGTTTTGGTGTGGTGTTAATTATGCTTATAATTTTTAATCGTACTATTACCACGTTTATACGCCTCTACATTCTTTCCATGTAGGATTTTTACACAGCATGCATTCGGCATGGATTAAAAAAGGAATTGTTCAAAAAATGGTTCTTTTGTGATTTCAACACAACAAAAACGTTGTTAAATGTTTTTATGGTTGGTGCTGCCGAATTAGGCGAAATATCGGTGTATACCGTTGTGAACAAATGCAAGGTATGCTCTCGCAGGTGAACACTAGCTTTTTGACAAAGGACAAATCAACAAATCGGTAAATTCAGCACACACGCTCAAATATCGTATTTTTATCTTTTCCACTAAATGTAACCGTTTGTCTCCGCTATAACATCTGTTAATAACGCGTTTTCCTGGTCTGCTGGGACTGACCGTGTCAAGCCGTATTTTTTATTGGCGGATAACACACAACCTTGATCTCGTCCATCTCTTGTGCTGTACAAGGCATACTTTCACTGTATTATTGCATTGTATCAAACTCTACGAATAATTCTGTGGGTGGTGTGCGATTTCCTCCGATGCCACCGGAATGTTTGCGAGTGCTACAATTCACGTACAGCCCTTCGTTCCCAGGAGACTTCGCTGGTATACTACACTGTAAAAAACAGTGCAAGAGCACTTATGCAATCTGTGCTCACTTCATCGCGAACCTTTTGGTTTCATGTTATGTCGCTACGTGCCAATCCCCTATGAATCTTTCGGGTGAAAGCTCAGAGTACGATGAGTTCGGCAATAAAATCGAAAAAGAGATGGTAAATTCTTCCGAAACTACGTTTGAATCTATTTCTGACAGAATTGACCTTTTAAATAGCGATGAACCGATATACAAGGAACTAAAATCAAAGGTTTACGACATAGGTGCCTTTGAGAACGACTACTTTGATGCGATCGCTGCAATACCAGACAGAATATTTAATGTTGTTGTTCTGGGGAGCAGCTCAAGCGGGAAAACAACTTTTATCGAGCACTTTAATACACGCGGTGCGTGCGACAGCACCGGAAATGCGTGTATCCGTACGCTTTACGAAAAGAAATTTGGTATCACCACACGAGTATCACCTAGCACCAATTTATACAGCGATTCACACGGTAGGTCAAAGATAGTAACATTTATAGACACGCCCGGACACTGCGACTTCATTCGATTCAACACGGACTTGTTCAGGTGCACAGACAATTTTGTTCTCACGGTGAGCATCACAGAGCCTTATTCCTTGTACTACGATTATATGCTCAGGAAGATGAGCGGCAACATTATTTTAGTGATAACAAAGGTTGATTTGGTCGTTGATCGCGGTGCAGAGTTCATATTGGAGAGAATAAAATACTACGAAAGACCAAGTTTTTCACATACTTTGTTGTCATCATCTAAGTTTAAATTTATAACAGACGAGTTAGGCAAGGAGAACATTCGCACGATTTGCGAGTGTTACGCACAGGGAGTGGTACAAGAATCGCGAGAATCAAATTTTATTGACAAGTTGGTGTACAAATCTTTAGAAAATAGCTACAGCTTGGGATGTATTTACTTCAACCGACAATTGTACAGGCTGCAAATAGGCAGTACATTCGAGCAGTGCTCCTCTTCATTTTTGGTTAATATAAGGCACAGTGTTGTTTCTCTGCGTATGACAAATCTCAACATTCCGTTCTACGTAAGATGTGAGCCACATAAACCGGATCAGAGGTTTCAGAAATTCCCTGTATCTGTGATGATAAAAGTGAAGCTGCTTCCGGTTGAAGAAACGCGGTGCATATTCGTCAACAGTCGCATCAAACTCGTGCAGGCACCGGCGGGTGAAGAACTGGTGGTAATTGAAGGTCCCGGTGAGCGCTATCTCGACCATATGCTGTGGGAGATTAGAAATACTATGAATGTTGATTTCACAGTTGTTTCTGTTTTTTGCACGTACTACGAATCGTTAGATTGGGGACAGGGAGCAAATGTAGAGCAGAAATGCACACAAAGGAGCAAAGCGCAGAACGGCGATTCGCCATCCACAATTGTATTATCGCCGCAGGAAAATAAAAAGATAAGATTAAAGCGGATATCAACATTTGAATGCTTTTACAGTGCGAATAACAGTGTTTTACTCCGTGGAGATAGGGAAAATAGAAAGAAGCGGTGCAAAGTACTAGACCTGCTCTCCAGAGGTGTTGCAAACATGGCCGGCATCGTTAATCTGAGCATCGAGCTTGACGCAAACGAAGACGACCAGAAAATTGCGAGAGAAATAACAAGTAGCTTTGAGGCACACAGCAGAATAATTTACATTTACACCTACAAAATTCACGTGGTACTGAAGGAAACGCATTTGGAATCGTTTGAGCGCGTTGTTCAGCGCAGGAGAATCAAGAAAATACGAAGAACGTACGTAGGTGCACTGGATGTCTATCTCGTAGTGGGTACTGTCGATGCGATCGAAAGTTTGGGAATTGAAAGCGATTTATCGTTGTGTGGACGTGGTGAGATCAGAGTTAATATGTTAGCTCATAGATGTATACAGCTAAGTGAGCGTAAAGCCAAGAGAGTGCTTAAATTAACAGAGGAGCTATTGAACGTAGAGAATGGAGCTGAGAAATAGGAAATCTTAAATTTGATCAAACGATTGAGATGGTCGTGTTGGTGGCCGTTGACAACGAATAAATAATTTTGTTCTTCTACCGTTAGAATGCTGAGAAATTCTTTGAATTGACTTCCAAGGATTGGCACGATGTTCTCAACATGTCCATAGGCGTTCTATGAAACAAAAAATCATTTTTGTGTTGAGCATGCTGTTCATAAGCTCAATATCAAGACGAATGTTTGTATTTCCTGCGTGCTGATGGCAATTCGGCAGTATGGTTTGCGTATAGGAACAAACTTATCGGAGAATGCTTGTATTGCCTTCACATAAAAATATAAATGCTTCAAATGAGATCAGCATAAGGCTTTATTTGCTTGATTGGTTTTGTTCTGCACCATCAGGACATATGAGCTCTTGCCAATATTTCTAAGCTGATATTGAACAATTGTTCAATATCTTACCAAAGTGATGATTATCACTGTGTAACGTATTTCTCTTCGAAAGGAGAAGTTCTACAACCATAAATATCGTATTACTGGTCAAAGCCCCCTTTACATGTCCTGGTGAACACAACACATACATTCTTTCCAACGTTTTTATCTTCTATTCATGTTCTGAGTTGGAAACGATGAGCGTTAGAAATGTAGATTTTGCTGCGAATTGTTACCGAAAAAGTATTAAATGGATGAAATAATCATTTATTCGTTATTTCAGAGAATCTCTCCTCTGATTTGTCAGTTTTTTGTTGATTATAGGAGAGAACATATAAATGTTGACCGTGTATCTGGAGCATGTACAGAAATTATCTTCCGGTCATACTCTTTCTGTTCCATTTGGTTTCCACCATGCTATTTCCGAATCCAAGACGGCAAAAGATCAACTATTTTCTTCAGTATTTTGCTCGTGGAATGATTCTTAGCATGATGGTCGTGTGCATGCTACCAGGCATCTTCAAAAGCAGTTCGTTCTTGCCGATAGCATGCACATTTTTGCCGTTTATACTGCTGAGTCTGTTTGAACGAATATCAGCGAAAAGCGAGAGTATGAGTGAAGCAGAAAGATCTACTTTCATGAAGAAACTGAGCCGCAGACAGAACATAATATTTGTTCTTGCGGTTCTTCTCCACACACTAAGCGATACGATTTGCATTATGGACGTGCCTGACATCAACCTGCTGAAGTCTATGGTGGGATATGGCATACAGAAATTCTTGGAGTCGTCGCTGATCGCAATATTTATCCATTTAACCGAGATCAGAATGCCACTCACCTATTCAATCGTATACATGTACGCATTGAGTGCTCCAGTAGGAGCACTGCTGGGTATGTACACTCGAGGACATACATCGGTAAACTGTGCAGATCTCAAATGTGGTCTGACGGGAGTGTCGTTCGGTCTGCTATTTTTTAACTTTGTCAGCGAATTGTTGTCAGGAGGCATCCATCACCAGGATGTTTTACACGGGAAGTATGATAGCATGGGTCTACTTGCATACGGATTAGGATTTTTTGCTATGACTGTTGCGGGATATTCGTTCACAGTTTTATCGAAGGTTTAATTAAATGCCCGATTTTTGATACAACTAACAAAGTTTTGGCATCACCAATTAACAACGCCGTGATTTGTGGTTCCAGTGGGCCAGAAAAGTTTGCTTGGTTGTTTGAATGGCATGGTTTGATATGCGGCAAATAAGTGACTTTTATTAAAGAAATAGTAATTTACAGTTATAATAGGGAAGTTCAACTTTGCAATTCAAGTTATTACCAGTAGCTTCAACCAGCCGTTTTTCAGAAGGAGGCTAATCAGATTTTTTTACATCATAGACATCAAATCACGTTTAAGGTTTTGTAAAATATTTTATCTGCCAGTAATACGCTGTAAATGTAGAAATGCTTTGGTAAGCATTGGTTGTTTGCTATAATTTGTAACTAAACTGTATTAACATTTTAACTCTTGCGAAGTGCCATTAGCTTGTGCTGCGTTTAGTAAGGATAGAGGCTGAGTACGTTTTTGCAGTCCAGCTAAGCAAATTCTTTGATACTCTTTAACATCTGTAATTGCAGTTTTAGTTTACACATCGCCAGAGTGTAATTTTTGAGAATCCGATTTACCCCATGGACATCCATCGGAAAATATTTATTGCCTACAAAAAAAGCAAAAAGTTCCCTTTGCTCTTGGAAATCTACAAGTCGCTTAATATCAGGATCCCGCACTACTTATCTCACGTATACATCAAGAACCATTACAACAGCATGGAAGACTCGTTTATCAGGCTGCTGGAAAAGAGCACAATACAAAAATACTTCCGTAGCATGCTCTCCACGTATTCAAAAATGCTTGTAAGTGCTGATGTACCACGAATCGTTTTGATACTGAGCAACATGTGCTATATCTTTGAACAGGATCTTGTTTTAAACGAAATAGATGAAGGTAGAATATACAGAATCGTGATGGAATTGACCGATAGATTCTTTTACGAGGATACGTTAGAGGTGAGTGAACGAGCTGGCGTTAAAACCACAGATGAATTGAAGTTTTGGTTGCTCCGGCTTTTGAAAAATATTAGGATATACTTTCACGATGAAAGAGAATTCTTGATTTTGAAGTATCTTGACAATTGGGATGAAAATGACACTTCAAAGCTACACAAATATTTGAAAGACGATCTTTCAGATAATTTAGCACTCCTTCACAAAGTGCTGATGCAAGATAACACGTATTTCGATCCTGAAATATACGCAATGCTGGTATCACTGTACAAAGAAAGGATATTCGGGCAGGATAACATGTTTAATCAGCAGTTCTTCGATAGTCTTGTTCTAAAGGATAATATGAATGGCAAATATAGGAATTTACACCATATTAAAACGGAAAAAGAGATGAACAAGCCGAGGTCGTCGTGTAACAGGCACATAAAATTGATGATGAGACAGAAATTTACTAAAAAAATGAACTATCGCATTCTCCAAGATTGTATCGAATTAATTCAAAAACGGTATGGATTGAACAGAATACCTGAACTGGCTCGATATAGCATAGAAAATCTTCGGTCGATCGGCGAGAATCGGATCGAAGAATACATAGCCGAAAATAGAACAGCGATCATTGAGGATTTGAATGTTAATAAGGTTGAAATCTTAGCGAAGGTTCTCCGAACAGATAACTTTACCAGGTCGATAGTTTTTGACTTATTTGATGTAAAGAAAACCGTTAAAAAAAATTACAATGAGTTGATAAGCTCTGCATCACAGGCAGTAAGTGATTCTGAACTAAAAATTACCGATCAAACTGCAATTACCAAAGAATACCACGGTATTAAAACGTATCAATTCATTGAAAATATTGGTGTGGGCAACTACGAAGTAGTGGATAACAAAAAATTGGGAACGGTCGATAGTTTGCCGACGAGCTTCGGGTCAGATACGAGTATAAACGATCTCAATAATTTGCTTTTATTTAACAATGTAAAACGGCTTGCCATCCGAGTAGATTACGATTATGGAGTGATAAGAAAGATATTTAACATTCATAAATCCGTAAAGATAACAGGAGTGTTGCTAGAGGGATCCATCAATTTTGATTATTTAATACTTTTGAATGACGCGGTAACCAGTAAAATTCTGCGAAGGAAGAGTCTGAATGGGTTGTTTTATAAACTATTGTACAGCGAATTAACGGGAAAATCATTGGTATTAAAATACAGAATTCTTGGTTCGTTGGTTCAGCAGTACAGAGAAATGGACGTTTTTATCGTAGAGAACAATTTACATGACGTGGAACAGAGAGGAATAAAAAAATTGAGTGGTAAGAACGGGAACATCCAGAAGAAGGCAGCAAATGATAAAAAAATGTACAAAAGAACCGATAATTTGGATATAAACGAAGATAATACTGAAATATTATCTGTCAAAATATGGGATGAGGTGCAGGTGTTCGAGATCGAGGAGATCCCTTACATTTTGGAACTACTAATCGCATGTATAAATAATACAAAGAAAGGCTTTCTACTTCGTAGGATAGAGGCGAAAATAGAACATTACATATCGCTGCACAGTTGTTATTTTTATGGGAGAGACATGAATTTGTTCTTTAAATTTCTTGAAAGTATCCTACGATACGATCTGAGAAACAAGAAATTGCTGTCTAGAATATTTGATTTTCTCCTAGAATATGAACAGGAAGAGATATTGAATGTACTTTACGAGCACAATCGTACGTTTTTTCTGTACTTATGTGCAGGCATTTATAAAATAGACAACTATACGACACCGAATAGCATTATTTGGGATGATAAACATAGAAAAATACTATATCGTGTTCTTGAGTCACACTGAACAGACATGATGCGTTCAATAATGTGTTGCTTAGATGTTAGTAGCGCATCGATCCCGTGATGTCGTTCAAAGCTTCACAATAAAATATATGAGCTCCTATCCTTGATGCCATCAATCCATTTAGCTTTTATTGAGGCGATTACAAGTGCATCGTGTCTGAGATATTTGTGGTAAAAGCTACCATGTACGGGCTTTATGCCTTGTATGTGTTAGAGAACCATGGTATACGCACTATATTATCAAATTTGAGCGTTAAAATTGCTAAATCATCAGTTCTTCATACGAGCACTGAACAAAATGTTCCTCTTGAGTGTAACTATGCTGTGTCATTTATGGCTTCACAGTTTAACAGAAACGCGTTGATCATCGTTTACCAAAATTTTCAATGTATCAGGATTTTCCCGATCGATCTCATGAAGCACGAAATTGATGAATTATCTAATCTGCGAAGCATATTTTTGTTTTACTTCAACTTTCAGGTGCACATGCGTATAATTTAGTAATCCTGAATCTTTTTTAGACGAGCGGGTACATCAACATAATCACAGTGTTTGTGTGAACAAATGAACAATCAGCGGTAAAAACACCTGAAGAACGTGATAAACGTTATTAAAAGCCAATAATTAGCACTAAACAGTTTGTTTGGTTCATCTAACAAATATGTGTGAGCTCAAAAGTGCTAATTATCAGTTAATATTCCCTAGTATTTGCAGATAGTGCTCATTTTTACCAAATGAGTAGTTTAATGTGCTAATTTTCATGTTTTGCTGTAATAAACTCTGTTTAGGGTTAGTAGTGTTTGCATCCCCCTCATATGCTCCATTACACTATTACAGAAGAATACTACAAGGTGAAACTGCTGATAAATTCAGATGACATATGCGATTTTATGGAACTTTCTAAGGCACTGGCACTCCAAAGGAACACCTTCATTGTATCGGTGAGCATGTTTTACAAGGTGCTTGTCTGTAGACCAGAAATGAAAGGCAATGTTCTAAAATGCGCTGTTATTCTCTTATCATGCAAGATAATGGAAAACTTTCGAGGGCTTTCGTTCGTTGTCGAGGCAGCAGGGAACCATTTCAACGTTGAGCCTGACAGGGATGATATAACTCTCATGGAAATGGATATTTCTGAAATGTTAAACTTTGATTATAAATACGTTGATTATTACACTTACTGTGGGTCTAAGACGCTGTTAATAGCACGAGATAAGAGCATGTTGGTCTATGTATTCTCATTTCTAACTGATTGTTGTTTTTTGCCTTTGCTGACGTTCTTTAGAAAAAAAGATGTTGTTTTTGCCTGTATTTTTCTGGCCTTGAAGGTTTTAAAGTCTGACATCTTTAAATGTGGAGAAAACGCGGGGCCTGGCATTGACCAAGAGGTAGCTGCAGCAATGACTTTAGGTATGAAAATATCTACGGACGAAAGCAGTTTAGACAGCACACCTGTTATACAGGATATCGCGATCGAAAATAAGAGAAGAAAGCTTTTTTACAAAAACACGAGAAAAGCACACAAACTGAAGGAAAAGCTCTTTAAAAAATACCGGCCGCATTTACGGGTCGAGCCAGAGTTTCTTCATGACTTAGAAATGGCATTCAAAGGATTTGAGTACTCAGCCGTGGAAATACACTTCATTTGTAAGGAATTACTTGATTTTTACGCAAAAATGCTTTGACAGGACCGACCAACACGCGATGAAACATATCATTTGAGTATTAATGAACATATTTTATCATAAATATCAATAAATCAACCACTGAGCAATCATTTTAGATTTTTCAAAGAGGGAACAATTCTGTCCTTCACCAGTTCTAAACAGTTGATAGCACTGTTCAATAGATTAGGTATCCTACTCACATTAATACCTCCCACCAAGGACGTACCAAAAAGTGTTTTTCTATTTATACCGTAACAGATCACAAAATTCGGCAGCTTACAATCCTCTTCGGCTGCACACAAATCAAAAAGATTAACCTCCGTGTAAATGCCAACAGAACAGCTCAAAACCAAATCCAACATTTGTATGCCCACATATGCGCAGCAAATGCTCACCGAATTAACTATAGCAGAGAATAAACTACCGTTGTCCTCCAAGACAAGAATATCGATATCAACCGACGAGGTTGGCCTCGGAATCAGAATATTTCTGAAGAGATCATAAATCTTGTGTTTTAAATCCTCTGCAAGTCTGTTCCATTCGTTGACTTCGATACGAGCCGACTTGTTGATGGATAAGGCCATGTTGAAACTAAGCTTTGTGTTTTTTGGTTTTGGTCCAGCAACAGATACTCTTATTTTCGTCAATCCTTGTGTGTAAACTATTGATGGCCCGCTCATGTAACATATGTCCACGAATCTAATCTCGGACGGCAACCTGCCATCAACTCTCAAATCAAGCTCATTCAGAACTTCCATAGGGCCAGAAATATATTTTGCAAAAAATAATCTGTGGCAGGATAGCAGTTTACAAAATATTTGCGTAGCGGCCAGTACATTTTAAGCAGTATACGCATGGTTAAACATAGAAGTCACCTGCTAATCGCCATATACATACGTTTCTTGCCGAATACAATAAAGGAAGTTTATATATTTACTGTCGGACTACGATGCGAATGAAAATGATCCAACACCGACACTTCGTAGTGTGTCAGGATAAATAAATGTACCTTTATTGAAACAACACGGATTTTGAATTAAACATGAGTTTTTATAACAAATTAGTTCTAAATTTTTTGAATAGTATTTCGTTTCTCATTAAAATTTGATAATAATAGGCCCACATACAACGACTTTCACCGGTGACAGGTTTAATAACCAAGATATAATTTTACGGACTTTTAATATCAAAATACCTGTTCTGATGCGTCCTTGTTACTAATCAGCTAACTATTTCGTGATACCAAGGACTTAAAGGAGCCAGGCTTTTGCTGATCGCAAAGTATCACAAGTAATTTGCACCCCCTTTATGGGTCGCAAAAAAACGAGAAGATCACAGATCAAATCATTGAAGTCCAGATTCAGAATGGAAACACGTTTTAACTGTCCCCGATGTAACAACGAGCAGGCTGTGAGGTGCACAGTGGAACGTAGCACAGGAATAGGAGTTGCGTACTGTACGCTATGCGAAGCAAAGTACAAGTGTAGAAGTAATAATTTGACAACACCGATTGACGTTTATTCGTCATGGATTGATGAAATAGACAAATAAATTTATGATTTAACATTGGTTTCGGGTTTGCATCTTGTAAATGATTCGATATCGCCATAGAAGATGATATATTGCTAGCGTGGAGCGGTAACAGTTTTGAGAGCTGTATACTATGGGCATCTGGTGAAAATAATTTGTGGAGCAAAGCCTGGCAGCACGTTTTATACGCAATGTAAATGATTCTTTCACTAAAACCGAAGTTATACGCCGAATTCCGTGTATTATTTGGCATTTTCCACAGTATCTTAAGCAGCAATAAAAACGGTGCTCAATCCAGTTTGAAAATGTGGTTTTGCACCACCATTATAAGTAAATACTGTAGATGTGGGCTATTTTTGAGATCTTATCTTGCATAAATAGAAAATAATCTCATTAATTTGCTTGTCGTTTAGAAAATTCTCAGCTAAAAACTTCCTAATTTCACCGAGTTTACGCGAATTCTTCAGTTTTAACGGACCCTTATCTACAACAGACTTGTAATATACGTTTCTCACTTTGGCGTACTCCAAATTAAAAATTCTTTGATCATAACTCGTCTTGCTTTCGCATTTTAGTATTTCTAAAGCCTTCTTTGGACCAATTCCTCGAATTCCCACGGTGTAGTCATTTCCCATAAATACACTCAGTTTGATCAAATCTTCTCTTTCCAAGTTCAGTTTGTTTTTAATATTCTGCATGGTATACAACTTTGGGCCTCTAAAATAGTCTTTATAAATCCTGCTAGCACCAAATAGAAATACATCATTGTCTTCCGTAATGACTGCATCAACCTTTAAATTGTAAATTTTTTCGTTAAATACTTGGTTGTTACCTAGATATGAATATCTTTCTTCCGTTTTGGAAGTGCTTTCTCGAGTACTCCGTTCTGATGCGCATTCGTTGTTGAAGTAGCCCAGCTGTGAATCGGATTCGTACGGTGCATCAATATAGGAGACACCCAAAATATTTAAAATCTTTTTCAATAGGACTGTTATACCTTGCAACTCATTCATCAAGTTCATGCTCTTCATTTGTATTTTTTTTTCAAGTGATTGAATCCGGTGGCGCACACATTCCTCTATTTCACTGCTCAACCCTTCCTCGAGGACAGTAACTTTTTCCTCACTATTTTCTTCCGGCACTATCACCAAATGGTTGTTCAAGGCAGTAGCAGGTTCACCACGTATTGTGCTTGTGCTATCTATTTTACACTCTATGTCAAGGCCTGCTTTATCCTTTGTGTTTATATTTGGGTCAGCTTGCAGATTGGTTGCTGCTTTATCCTTCTCTTCAATCTGATTGTTCAGTGTTTCTAATTGCTTATCCTTGTGTGATGTTGAGTTTCCAGCCATTAATGGACTATTGTTCGGATTCGTTTTAGTCTCTCTGATAGACTGTATCATATTCTGGATATTCTTAGATGAAAGGCTTTTCGTTTCATAATTTGTTTCTTTTTCACTATTTCCAGCGTTTCTAAGATCATATGACCCCTGTATTCGGTTCGTATTGCAATTCGTTACAACATGAACATCATTTCCACTGTTTGTCTCCTTATTTTCGCTAAAAATTGAATTTAACTCAGTTAAAAATCCATCTTCGCCTGTAATTTTATCGCTTGTAAGATTGTTATCAGTTTTTTTCGGTTCTATCTTTTCGTTAACCTGAAAGAGGCTCAAATCATCATTTTCTTCTTTTTTAAGTTTCTTAGCCGTTTCATTATCATAATTTAACTCGTAGTACGACCGACAGTCTCCCATTATCCGCTTGTTCTTCGTGTTAGACACTTCGTTGATCAGGTTGGTGATTGTGTACGCCCTCTCAATTTTCTTTAATTGGTATTCAGAAAATTCTTTTCCCCTCATTCCGCGAAACCCACACGATTTGAATGCATTTGCTTCTCTGAGCTCATCCAAAATTTTCAACTTCCTGACTTTTGATAGACTATCAAAATTCTTTGGCAAAAAATCGTCCTTCTCTTCGCAGAACAATTCATTATAGTCCATGTTTACACGGCTCCACTCGTTGTAATAATTGTGTGCTGTGTCTAGCTCTATTGTTTCTTCATCCCCTGCATCAATCGCATCTTCTCCCCAATTATAGTCATGATTTCTCAGCTTATAGCTCACAACATCTTCGATCTCTTTTAGTTCTTCCATATTCACTTCCCGTCCATGCTCACAGTTTTTATATAGAATTTTACACACTGTACACACTTTATTGTTCCTAATTTTATCAAAATGGGCTTTTAGTTCGTTTCTCAGCCGCATCTCGTTTCTTTTGGCAATTGTTTTGATCTTCTCAACAGGTGCCTTGCTGTCAAACACAAAAAATAGTGTGTTTTGGTGATACAAAAGGCCTACTACGCGCTTGACAAAGCTGTATATTACGTTCGTTTGAGGTACATTTTTATATTTGTATAGCCATATGCTTGCATCTATTGCTAGCCGCTGGTTCTTTGGTGTATCTGCCGTATGGCACTCCTCCAACAATTTCCACAGACCCTTTACACCCATCGACCCGATTTTTTTGCTAACGGTATTTAAACAAAAGGAGGCTCTGCGAATAAGTGAGTAAGAAGGCAAAATTTTTAATTTAATTAATTTTAAAGGACCTATAAATTACCTTTTGAACAGTAAAAGAGACTGATACGTTCACTAGACTTCATCAATGGTGGAAAAGAACTGCAATAATTCATCGGTCATCTCCTTATTTTTTTATTCATATTCGTACGATCTTTGAAGGAGTTTTTACGTTTTCGATTCATTTCAACGTCTTTACCAGCCAAAGACGACCGTTTATCGGTATTTGATCTGTTAAATCGCCGAGATGATTTGGCTGTCTCATCCGTATCCGACTTGATTTCATGTGTACCATCTCTTTTCCATTTCAATCGTGGCTTACTGCTTGTTTTTTCTTGTTCAAATGCTCTGGTTGTTTTGTCAGACCGGTTTTCCCTCCGTGACCGTTCATCCCAGACATTTAGCTTCCTCCCATCGTTTCTTCTGCTTTCAATCTTCTTATCACTGACAGCATCACCAATGTTATGCATATCTTCATTGCCAGTTGGCTGCTTGTCCCTACTTTTCCTTTTGTTAAACATTCGTCGTTTGCAGGCAGCCCCATCCCTTTTTCCCTTCTCCGTACAATCAACAACAACATCATCCTTTTTGTTAAAATTTTTCTTTTCCAAATCATTTAGGACTTTTAGCGTTGCTTTCATGGTGTTCAAGTAGATCGTCTTCTCAAGATTTGTGTCATCACTCATCACCGAAGGGTGCTGTGGCCAAAAAAAGTGATTGTAAACGTGTGCAGTAGAGCACCGTGTAGATGTAAGGATGAGCGTATTTTGTGATGTTGTCTGTAGTTGAAAGACATAGCTGTCCAAAATGGCTTTATAGTGATAAGCCCGAAATTATAAATGATTCCGGATTGTTTAATCGGTGGCTGAAAATAAATATGGACGAGTACTTGTGAAGAAACAACTTCTTCCCGTTCTGTTGGACAACGCAAATAGTACCGGTGAATTGGGATAAAAAATCAGAAGTATTCATGAAGATGATAGCAAAAAATTCGACAAGTACTTCGTAAAGCAGAGATCGAATTTATAAGGAAGTAAAGACCAATTTATGAATGCTAAAATATGTGTAGTACATTAAAAGAATCTGTAGGAGAGAAGTGTGCATGAAATGAAGTGAATGAATGCGGCGGACAAAATTTTGAGAAGCTCAGAAGAAAGGAAAACTTGCAGGATACACGTTGAAAAGATACTTAAAGAGCCGAAAACACATGAAGAATGAAAGAGCTGGAAGAACAAAGGAATCAATTCGTCTTCTCATAGGATAAAAGGTCAATTAAAATTGTTATCGAAGAAAAATTTAATCCTAATGTGATAGGCGAGGTATTTAATGAAATAAAGTGATTAATCAAACTCTCTGTATTTGTTATCTGCGTATCTAAAACGTAAATCTTTGCTTTCTTCGTTAAATTACCGACCAGATCGCGAAGAAAAGTTTTTAACTTTTCTTTTACGCTCAAATCCAATTCCTAAAGGAATTAGATTGACAGTAATAATAGGAGGTAAAGATTAGTAAAATAGAGATGATGACAGTTTAAAGACAATAAAGCAGATTAATAGAAGTTTTCAATTAGGAAATTATACGTTATTGTCATCGTGTGTGCACATATGATGGTTCGTGAGTAAATGCTTGGAGTATCTTGAAACGATTACCAAGTCGAAATGTACTGAAAGTCGATAAAAAAATACGAGAAGTTCACAATAACAATAGAAATAGGAACCAAAAGAACACTCAAATACGGAAACGAATTTTACCTCCTATGTATATAAAAAAATATATTTATTAAACCGTTAGGGGTACATGGAAACACATACGGCTACACTATTTCTTTTATCGGTATTTCTTTTCTTCTTTACACTTTTATTTTCTTTTTCCTACCGGTTTTTCAAAAATCTACAGATATCCTCGTATTCCAAATGCTTTGCAGGTGGTATCATACTCAGCACGCTCATATTCCACATATTTCCGGATGTATACCAAAGTAACTGCGGGTATCTTGGGCAGCTGTTCAGCGGAATCAGCTTCCTGATCTTATTTTCTATCGACAAGCTGTATTTGTACGTTAACGATAATGAGAATGACTCTCTTCCGAAGAATGTATCCAAGGCACAAGCATTTATCTTTATAATTGCGCTCAGCTTGCATAGCTTCATGGAAGGATTAGGTATACCAGCGAAGGAAGGCAAAAGTCTGGTGTGGTATTCATTAGGATTACTCGGGCACAAATGGATTGAGGCGTTTGCACTGAGCGTGTCGGTGCATACATCGGGATTTGAAATGAGAATAGTTTATGCTCTTCTGACGTTCTATTCGTTCTTAACGCCCTTTGGCACTTTGATAGGTATGGCCTTGATAAAAGTGCTAGAAAATAATAAATATTTCGATAATCTGACGAGTATTCTGAACGGTATTTCCTGCGGTTCATTTTTCTACATCGAATTCATTGAAATGCTCAACTCGGAATTCGATAAACAAGGTATGATCGCAAAGAAGAAGAATAGGAAAAAAGTGCTGGCAATATTTGTAGGATTTGTTCTGATGACGTTGGCTGCACTAGGTTTTCACTGGGCTGAATCTAAATAAAGCTTGCCTTTAACTTAAAACACGCACTTAGCGTATTTTTTCGTTACGAGTGGTAACGATTATTTTATGGTCTGATCGCTGATACTCAAATCATTACTTGTCTCTGGAGGTGTGCTGGATCACTTTATCACGATCAATATACAAGCAATATTCATTCAAAGAATAGCTTGGGTGTTTTTGTTGGTGTTAAAGCTGTACTACATCTGTACGATGAGCTCATCCCACTAATTCTGCTCCTGCACAGAATTTTCGCGCTACAGTATTTTAATTTAGCAAAAATCTAAAATTCGTCCGTATAGCCGGAACGCTCAGCGGTAAACTGAACATCTTGCTGAAAAATAGAATACATTTATTTAATAGAACAGCTATTCCAGTATGGCAAGCGACCTTCTCGCTATTCTTTATCACATCAGAACACAGAATAAAATTAACCCGTGACAGTGAGCCATAAAAAAGAGGATCATTCGCGCAGCGAAACATTAAAATGAAAAAAACACCGATAAACTAGCGAGTTTAATTAATATGCATATGTTAGGCCTGGTTAACTGAGTGTAAACTCTTCAGTATCAAAGATATATCGATGATCTACATTAATGTAGAATTTGAACAACTCGCATCCCGATTTGACAACCATTATCGAATTATGTGATACGATTAACTCATTTATGTCCCTCTGTGAGTCATAAAATCTATTATTAATCACAAAAATGGCGCTTTCAAGTCCAATCTTTTCCAAAAAATCAGACATCATTAATACATTGTTATTCAAATGTAGAACAAACCATTTTACACCACAGATACCGCAGGTAGAACTGCTTATTCCCGGGTAATTTTTAATAATGAGCTTCTTATTCTTTGTAAGAAAATAGTTGTGCGTAAGCCCTGCTGCTGAGATCAACATCAAAGACGCCACTGCAGCATTTGTGGTGCAAATCGAAGGTATAATATTTTTGACAATCTTCTCTGCCGTAAAAAAATTCTCAACGGTAATACCGTAGTTACTGGCACGAGCTTGAGCCACGTAGTAAATAAATTTGTTTATATTTCTGTTGTCCTTGTTGAAGACAGGGAAGTTTGACCTCTTTAACCTTGCGTGATACTTCATTATTTTTTTAGCAATCTTCGTCTTACTGCTATCGCATTCTCTACTACCAAATAGAAACCTGCAAACATTCTCTAATTCTTTGTATCTCGCTCGTTTCTTTCTAATGTTAGCGTAGACTACTTCTTTGGCATAAGCAACACAATGCACGAAGCTTTGCGGTCTGCCTCGAATTGTACAGATCGGAAAACTCTGTTCCCGTATTTTTGGTGTGCAGTCGTAGCACTCATTTTCAAAAAATACCATTGACTGTCCCAAATACCCTGCTGATCCACCATCAACAAGCGGTACACGGGCCAGCCTGCACCTCAGACTAACGTATGAACGGGCTTCAACGTTGTCCAAACAATTATACACGATTTCAAAGGTTTCAAAGAACTTAAGATCGAATCTTTCGTTAATAATACTCTCATTATAGGATATAACTCTGGCATCACGAACCATTTGTTCGTAATACTGCTTTGTTATATCGGTCTTGAATTTTCCGACATTGCTTCGAGTAAAAAAGAATTGACGGTTTAAATTTGTAACTTCTATCGTGTCATTGTCCACGATTGTTACGTGTTTTATTCCTTTGAGCATTAAAAGCTTAAGCAGCTCACAACCAATACCCCCACATCCAACCACCAAAATGTTCTTTTCCATCGCACGGTAGATGTGAATTTCGGATATAACAATTTTTTGAGAAACAAGATTCAGAAGTGTAAATGGAGAACTTCTGATGACAATTCTGATCACTAAAACATTTTAAGTGGTTCAAGTGATAGCTAACCTCGATATGATGCAAAATTTTGTTCCAGCGTGCTATCCAAATATTTCCACCTACATTATGTTTTTTGGCCAAAATCACGGTGCTACAGCTAACATTTATCTTTTTACAATGAAACGGAAATATTTTAAATGTCATTAGACATGATGCCAATAGTATTTATGTATTATGTTTGTTTGTGACTCATCCTGTGTTTTCTGAACGGGTTGAAGTGATTCACTACATCATAACTGCTAGCATGTTGGTTTATGTTGTTCATTTCATAAAACTGACTGGCACATCCGCTATGTCTGCTAGTAACGACCACTATGTCCGTTAGTCTTCATCTCATGAGGAAGATAAGTTTTTTGAGCCATGTGAAGACCCAGCAGACCTATAAATAATGATAGGAAGGTGCGTTATTACTACAATAGTACCTAACATGCAAATCATGGCACACATAAAATTTGTCCAAAATAACTGTGATCAAATTAAGATGATCTCACACAGCAACGCAAAACAAAGCAAATCAAAAATATCAAATTGCACAAGGAACATTCTCACGATTGGCAAATGGCATATTGAGTATTACTTACCGTTCCTAAAAAGGAATAATAAATCAAGTGCAAAATGACCGGTGTAAAACCGAATAAATACCATCATAATCACTTTTCGATTAGACACAAGAATTAATTCAAGTTGAAAACTTTCCAGATACTCAAAAATGCTATCTCTTCCTTTTCACTAGACGTACATTTATTTACCTCCTCAACAATACGATAGTGCTGTTGAATCAAATGGAGCATTAACAGAAAGGAAGCTAACTTTAATCCTCTCAAAGCATTCGCATTAAGGCAACTAACACAAGAATATGAGGGTTGGCCCACGAAAGAAACTCTCAGAATATTGCAGCGTATTTTTGATCAAAGATATTTATACTATGGCCTGCCACAGCAAGACATGAAAGGATCACTACCATATGAGATCCTCAGCTCGTACAAGTTACACGTCCGATCACGGACCATTTTATACTGCATCTGAATGCCTGACTCATCGCATACATACACGGATAGTAGTAACCAATGTGCTTGGGTTGCAGAGGAAGAGAGGCGAACATAACCGGAATAAAGCAACCTTTGAACAATTCGTTGATATCACAGGTACGCAAAGCCGATCCAAACTGTACATGACAGCAGGATCTAGCCGCTCTGAGGCAGAGGAAAGACAAGATGAACTAATATGACTTTACTAACAAACCTAAATCACAAGCATCGACTCCACTAGCACACACATCCGAAAATGTCCTTGATATATCTCCTAACAACACTGTACAACCTTTTTTAACCTTCTGTTTGTTGCACATTCCTCAAATCACGATGAACCCCCCAGTGTGTGCTGGAGAGCGATTCTTGATCAACTCCACATGTAGCTAAGAAACCGCCTTGCTACATATATGTACGTCGAAACAAAACAGCCAAATATAAACGCGATAATAAAAAAAAAACAGTTATTCTACAATTAGTAGTGCTATTACAGTCAATAGAGTCATTAATCCTGGTATCTCTGGGTTTGTTTCTTTCGTTCCCTGCATGCACATAATTCAGAAAACCTAATATTACCAGCAACAGATTAAATAACGAACTCAACAACATGTGCAGGCTGCATCACCTGTATTTATTCTTTTTTACCGATATTAAAGTTATGACATTATCATTTTAGAACAGGTTAGAGGTTTTTGCTTTTTTTTCTATGATAGCACGGCCATCACGGTGCTACAAAAATGTTCTGATCAGCTCTGTAGTTCACAAGCACTTGCACGGTTGTGGTGCATGTTTGAGTAGAGGAGTGAGAATAAAACAATGAAACATTGAAACGAATAATTAATTTAACTGTTCTGGTAGCAGTTGTTGCACTGGTCCAAGATTGTGGAGGTGTTTTACACTTTTTCAATTCTAAGCTTAGTTGATTCACCGCGGTAATCATAGCTGATGACAAAGTTCCTTATATCAGTTTGATTGGCATTGACGGGTGAATCTTCTTATCATTTTTAGTCTGAGCAGAACTTTTGGATAAATGTCTGCGCATCGAAATGAACAATAAAAATGCGTTGATCAGGATGACACTGTTTATATATATGGTAACAAATAGATCATTTTCTGTAAAAAGTATTCAAAGATATTAACTTGAAGACTCCACTCCGTAGAAGGTCCGTGCATTAAGTGATCAAATGGCATCACATGTTGCTACTCTACAATTAAAAATTTGTGGTCTCAACGGCAGGTTTTTTGACAAATCGCTTCTGATGGATGTTATCTTTGAGAAATGGTCTTTGCAAACAAAAATTATCACAGATGTCTGCAAACCTATTTTAATATTAAGAACTCGTTTAATACAGGTAATAAGCTTACATTTGCGGCTGTATCTCGGTGTACTAGCACTGAGCTTCACAGATTGTATCCTTTTCACGCAATTTTGTAGCATAACAAATCTACATGCAGCATTTTACAGGGTTCGCTTCACAGATAAGCTTTTTAGGAGTGGTCAAACAAACCTTATGACTGCAGGATAACTATCAAACTGTGGTTAGTGCTCCATCAATCACAACTTCATCTTATGCTACATACGATCGTTGCTTCATTTAAAATATTTGCCGATACTTCAAAGGCTTTTCTGAGACCGATTTCTAGCCAAACGAAGAATGGCCTGGCAATGCCTTTCTCGATAGAGTTTATAAATTTTTTTGTTCTAAATATTTGTAGATCAATGTGTCTGCCACAGAGACATCTCTATTATGCTGGCCTATACAATTATTTGTACAGGCGACTTGCAACAATATTATGAATTGCATAGATCTTCACTTTTTACCGATCAAAAGTTGTGTAATATGCAAAAATATATTCTTTAATTCGGTTAGTTCTCATTCTCACGGTGACCTCGTTGTTTTGTTGAACTACTTTCACCAACCAAGATTAATAAAACACAACAACTGTTAAGACACAAAACAAACATAGGCGACAAGTCAAACGGTACAATGTGTGATATTCTTATTAATAAACATATTTATAAAGAAACGCGCAGTTAGCTTGATATACCAGTAATAAGATAGAATACGCCATTTGTACGAATGTTGGGATTGGATGGATGCTCTTGGCGGAGGATATCGATGATGAGATCGAAAAAAGGAGGTATATCAGCATAGAACATATTACAATAAGCGATATGGTAGTTAACATTAAATAGTAGAATAGCATGCCATGATGTCTATAAAAATACATCATATGCCATTGCACAACGTATGTTAAAGCAGCTTTGTTCTTTGATACGCCTTAGTATCTGTCAAGGCTGTGGTATTTAGGAGTAGTTATGTAATCGAATAGCTGATGGGCACAGTACCAAGGGCAAAATCGTCAAAATTTCGATCTAAATGCAAATATTTTGCGGATGTTTATGGTATTGTTCACCAATCTCAGATACTTTGCTTCTAGGTTAATAACTAGTGATCTGAGAGCAATAACATTTGGAGTAGGGTGTTTGTTAGCTGGAGATAATTCGCTCCATGTCTTATATCACAACCAAGTAAATCACAGCCTTTCAGAACTACCAAGAACCAAAAAAATGTTCCTTTTACTTCGATTTAACCGTCTAACAGCTGGCATTAAAACATCGCCATAGCGAGCAGTTTTGTACCGTGGTTTATTGTGATCATCAACAAATTAATTAATGAGTATTTTTTGATAAAGTAGCCATAACGATATTTCCATCGTTTTGAGCAGCTTCCGATGCTGGTTCTGCTTTTTTATACAGAAATTACATTTGATTGATATTTACGGTCTGCAATCGTATGAACAATTCTTTTTGAAGTTGTAACAAAAAAGGAATATTTTGCAACCATTTAATCACATACCTTCGCTAAAAAAAAACAATGGGTAGATTCGGTGGAAGCTTTAACTTTGGTTCAAAGGGCCATTCATCCCCAGCAGCGCATTACAGCAGTCCACACGGACACAATGGCGTTCATAGCCCGAGTTCGAAAAGAACAGGAAGTGATAAATCATTAACAACGATGGCGACAGTATCACTAATTATTTCCTGTACAATTTACATTTCTCTGGGCATTTTACTTATTGTTACGTGGTATATTATTTATGTGGGAAATAGGAAGTTGACAAAGAAATTGAAATCCGCAGAAGTAGCGGACATTACAGCAGAATATATCGATAAAGATGCACACTCAACCGTAGTTATAATGTACGGATGTACCATCAATGGTGAGAACTGTTTATCTGTTTTTCCGCTACGTGAATATGGACATAGGCTTTTTGAGAGTGAGATAGCAATCGATGAAAAAATGCAAAACCGGTCATACTTCAGAAAACACTTCATACAGGTCATGCTATCCTATTCGAAAGAACAAAATAATTTGCTCTATATTCCTCAAAGGAATTTAAGAGAGAAGCGACCGTTTTTCATGTGGTATACGAGAGTATTTATTAGATTTAATGGAAAAAGCCTCGATCATCTGCTCAATTCGGCCATTGAATTTATTAACTGCGTGTTCGAACCAACGTTTTTCTCAAAAAACAAGGAGTTTATTACGTTCTGCATATTAAACAAATCTCGTATTGATGTTGAAGTGTATCAATGCACCGACACCGAACTTATTCCTAATGCTGGCGGATCATTCCACTTCGACGAAAATTTGGCGGTTGAATACTTTTCGTACATCATGGATTCGCTCACTGAAAAGGTCGCAGCCGAGCAAATTGACAAACTGATTGATACTGCCATCTTCAATGAGGAAAAGATTAGGATGTCTCTACAAAACATCGAAAGGAGCTATAATATTGTAATTCCGCCTTCTCAACGCTGAACTATTTGGTATTGTCTGCCAACAAACAGCATATGTTTGATATGGTAGCGCATGTTGTCACATCATAACTACGATATTTGTGTTGAGTAGCGTACGTCGAAGAACATTTCATGTGCTATGTTGCAGGATGATGATAAACGCCAACGGTATTACAAAGCCAGGTAAAAGCTGATAATTATGTCATCACCGGATTTTTAGTGCCTGTGTAATTATTTTATCCGCTATTGTGCAAGTTATTGATGTAACACCACCGGATGCACATCCTTCCAAAAATTCACTTACTATGAATCTATTAGCCCCTTGCTAACGAGCCTGTTTATACCATGGTAACAATTCATTAGCACTATTCCTGTACCCTTGCATTTAATAATGCAGAATACGCCACCCGTCACTATTTTTTTAATTTGTTTTATTTTGCAGTTCTTAGTGTATCATTCCTCTTCGTTATTCTTTCTGGATCCGTTTCAGAAGGTAATTATAAAATATATTCAGATGTGTTCAAGGCTAGATACGACCGTACTATCCTTTATTACTATTGTTCGCTTCTATTTTTAAATTAATTCGCCGTTTTCTCGCTTTTTGTGGAACATTGCACATTTCAAGTTTTAGTTAATTGTAATTCAGAAATTTAGATGCTAGAACGTGATATCTTACTAAGTCCTATAATTCTATCGGTACGTATGCCATAAATTGTTGATATATTGAATTTTTGAAATTATAATCAAATCTGTAAATGCAATTGGACCATGAAAATAATTTCTTGGTGGTTGTTGAAGATAACGAACGCTTTCAACGGCTGTCCAAATAATAATTTAAATATTTTGGTGCAGAAGAAAGGTTTGTACCAATGAGTGCGGAATATCTTGCAATAAACCAAAATAATAATTCCGTTCATTGGGCCCATTTTATCACCACACACGTTTTACATCCGCCTTTTGTATATTACGTTCTCTGCTATTGCATTGTAGTCTGATCTCCTCTCATCTGCTTATACATCCAAATCACCGATACATCTTAATCTGAGATGGTACCATAGAAAGCTGCTAATGCGCAAACATAGGTATTGATCAGCATACATACATTTTGTTGGACAATCTTCCTCGTAAATTTTGCACTATCATTGCAAATGAAGGAATAACTGATAACCGCTTCCTCTTCAACATGAATAACAGCAGTGCTACGATCAGTGCTGTGCTCGATATTATTGCAAAACGTCCCGTAAAAATGTTTTGAAGTGCCTTAATTCCTATCAATCGCGTTCACCGCATATATTTTCTTCTAGGATCGATGTTCCGAAGCAACATGATTACTTGTATTTTCTCAGATCAGGCATGTGATGGTATTTTAATGACTATAACTGATTCTGTAGCTTTATTGGATAATTCGCTGCTATATTTCATCTTTTATTACGATCATGTTTGCACTCGCATGTGCTATTCTTGGTCAACCTGTCTAATCAAGATTTTTTTCAATTATCATGCCAAAATTAGCGTGAATAGTGCAACTTCTGAATCCACAAATAGTAGTTCATACATCCATCATAGCACAGGCTTAGCTGTGCATACGGCGGCTTTCCAGGATTGCGTCGTCAGGGCACCATAGCAAAATTTACATCAGTCGAAATTTTTTTGAGTTTTATACATTCTGCGAAAACCAAACGTAGCTTGGCACAAAACTCAGCATAGACCTGCATATGCACAACCGTTTTCATAGTCTATCCCACTAATACCATGGTTTGAACATAAAGCACGAGAACGAAAACCATCTTAGAACCACAAAATCTAAAACTGATGATATAAAGTATTTACTTCTTGCACTATTAACGAGCATTACACGCATCTTCAACACAGTGTCCTATCATTCTTTTTTTACACTAGCACATCGTTAAATCTCTTCTAAATCACGAAGTGATAAAGACACAAGTGCTAATATCAAGCAACCAAATAAAGAAACTGGTGTTTTTTGTTATGACAAAAAAGAACAATTTGTAATGTTTTGAGAACACCTCTTTCAGGTTGATCACAAAGATGTCCTGATAAAGGAATACTTCACAGAGCAGTTAATGATTGAGAAGGTGCTGAGAATACGAATGAATTGTGTAAAAAATGCACATAGAGCGTTGTATTCGGGATGCAGTTTGGGATTGATGACAGCTGAATGACATGATTAAAAGAAATTGCGATTACCGCGGTGAATCAACTAAGCTTAGAATTGAAAAAGTGTAAAACACTTCCACAATCTTGGACCAGTGCAACAACTGCTACCAGAACAGTTAAATTAATTATTCGTTTCAATGTTTCATTGTTTTATTCTCACTCCTCTACTCAAACATGCACCACAACCGTGCAAGTGCTTGTGAACTACAGAGCTGATCAGAACATTTTTGTAGCACCGTGATAGCCGTGCTATCATGAAAAAAAAGTAAAAACTTCTAACCTGTTCTAAAATGATAATGTCATAACTTTAATATCGGTAAAAAAGAATAAATACAGGTGATGCAGCCTGCACATGTTGTTGAGTTCGTTATTTAATCTGTTGCTGGTAATATTAGGTTTTCTGAATTATGTGCATGCAGGGAACGAAAGAAACAAACCCAGAGATACCAGGATTAATGACTCTATTGACTGTAATAGCACTACTAATTGTAGAATAACTGTTTTTTTTTTATTATCGCGTTTATATTTGGCTGTTTTGTTTCGACGTACATATATGTAGCAAGGCGGTTTCTTAGCTACATGTGGAGTTGATCAAGAATCGCTCTCCAGCACACACTGGGGGGTTCATCGTGATTTGAGGAATGTGCAACAAACAGAAGGTTAAAAAAGGTTGTACAGTGTTGTTAGGAGATATATCAAGGACATTTTCGGATGTGTGTGCTAGTGGAGTCGATGCTTGTGATTTAGGTTTGTTAGTAAAGTCATATTAGTTCATCTTGTCTTTCCTCTGCCTCAGAGCGGCTAGATCCTGCTGTCATGTACAGTTTGGATCGGCTTTGCGTACCTGTGATATCAACGAATTGTTCAAAGGTTGCTTTATTCCGGTTATGTTCG